TAGTGAAAAACATGCATGCAATTTTAGTCTCAACAGGCTTATATTTGAACCACTTGCTATCCTACAGAAGAAAAGAAAGATATTATGTGACATAAAACCGGTACAAAAGACATTGTTAAGTGCTTTTTATACAAATTTAGTGAGGTCTTTATAATGGACTTCAACTTTTATGTTCCAAGCTCCTCACATTTAACTTGATACAAACAGGGCGTTAGACGAGGATCATATATACAACACATTTTGCGCATATTGTCTGAGATAATCTTCTTTTCTGTAGATTCAGAGTTCACAAATGAGTAATACAACTGGATTGAAGCATAGAAACACAAATATTGACACATAAAAACCTGTCAGATAGAAAGTCAGAATGCCACTTATGCATCAAAATTGAAAAAGCTATGAAATGCTTATTTTGACCATAAAATGCCAAAATTGGTCATTTTTGCAGAAATTCTATCAAATAAAAGTTTAAATCCTTTAGTTTTATGCTATTTGATAAATTGACACCATCAAATCACTCAGGGAAGTTGCCAAAGTACAGATTCTATATTTCCTGATTTCACCTAATAGGGTAAAAAAAGTTGACCAATCTTAATGAAACTTGGTATGACTAAAGCTTATTAAATTATAAGACTGCTTACAAAGATTCATGGCAATAGGATATATATTATAGACAATATGACTAATTCTATATTGAACTTTGAGTGTTAAATTTAGACGTTAAAATTGAAAATTTTCAACTATCAACATTTGGGGCTTAAAAAATTAAAATATTGCAAAAAAATACTTTTGAAATGCCTTAATATATAATATATTATGTATTAAAAGCAATAGAGTACTCATTTGATTTATCAGACTTATCATAATTATTAAAAAGTCAAATTTATATGAGCCTGTGGCTAAAAATGGAGGTTTTCCAATGAAGGGGGGCCTTACATGAAGATGTAATATTTTCCAGCAATTTTAAATTTGTAAAGCTTTTTGGTTATAAATAATCCTTACATATGTATTTAATGTACTTTAAATGGAAAGAAAACTTACAAATAACATATCACATTAGTTTAAAAGTGTCTTAGGCCAAGTAAGACTGATAATAATTTAGGGTCAATTTAGGCCGTATCACATATTTACATTTAAAAATGCATATTGAAGCTATATGAAATAAAATTTTGTGTCTTTTCTATCATTTCTATACTCAGGTGACATGATACAATAAATCTGAGCGCAAAAAGACTCTTGCATTCAACTTTTTTTGCAGACAGTATGGTCTGATAAAAAGATTTTTCACTTTTTAGTGAAAAACATGCATGCAATTTTAGTCTCAACAGGCTTATATTTGAACCACTTGCTATCCTACAGAAGAAAAGAAAGATATTATGTGACATAAAACCGGTACAAAAGACATTGTTAAGTGCTTTTTATACAAATTTAGTGAGGTCTTTATAATGGACTTCAACTTTTATGTTCCAAGCTCCTCACATTTAACTTGATACAAACAGGGCGTTAGACGAGGATCATATATACAACACATTTTGCGCATATTGTCTGAGATAATCTTCTTTTCTGTAGATTCAGAGTTCACAAATGAGTAATACAACTGGATTGAAGCATAGAAACACAAATATTGACACATAAAAACCTGTCAGATAGAAAGTCAGAATGCCACTTATGCATCAAAATTGAAAAAGCTATGAAATGCTTATTTTGACCATAAAATGCCAAAATTGGTCATTTTTGCAGAAATTCTATCAAATAAAAGTTTAAATCCTTTAGTTTTATGCTATTTGATAAATTGACACCATCAAATCACTCAGGGAAGTTGCCAAAGTACAGATTCTATATTTCCTGATTTCACCTAATAGGGTAGAAAAAGTTGACCAATCTTAATGAAACTTGGTATGACTAAAGCTTATTAAATTATAAGACTGCTTACAAAGATTCATGGCAATAGGATATATATTATAGACAATATGACTAATTCTATATTGAACTTTGAGTGTTAAATTTAGACGTTAAAATTGAAAATTTTCAACTATCAACATTTGGGGCTTAAAAAATTAAAATATTGCAAAAAAATACTTTTGAAATGCCTTAATATATAATATATTATGTATTAAAAGCAATAGAGTACTCATTTGATTTATCAGACTTATCATAATTATTAAAAAGTCAAATTTATATGAGCCTGTGGCTAAAAATGGAGGTTTTCCAATGAAGGGGGGCCTTACATGAAGATGTAATATTTTCCAGCAATTTTAAATTTGTAAAGCTTTTTGGTTATAAATAATCCTTACATATGTATTTAATGTACTTTAAATGGAAAGAAAACTTACAAATAACATATCACATTAGTTTAAAAGTGTCTTAGGCCAAGTAAGACTGAAAATAATTTAGGGTCAATTTAGGCCGTATCACATATTTACATTTAAAAATGCATATTGAAGCTATATGAAATAAAATTTTGTGTCTTTTCTATCATTTCTATACTCAGGTGACATGATACAATAAATCTGAGCACAAAAAGACTCTTGCATTCAACTTTTTTTGCAGACAGTATGGTCTGATAAAAAGATTTTTCACTTTTTAGTGAAAAACATGCATGCAATTTTAGTCTCAACAGGCTTATATTTGAACCACTTGCTATCCTACAGAAGAAAAGAAAGATATTATGTGACATAAAACCGGTACAAAAGACATTGTTAAGTGCTTTTTATACAAATTTAGTGAGGTCTTTATAATGGACTTCAACTTTTATGTTCCAAGCTCCTCACATTTAACTTGATACAAACAGGGCGTTAGACGAGGATCATATATACAACACATTTTGCGCATATTGTCTGAGATAATCTTCTTTTCTGTAGATTCAGAGTTCACAAATGAGTAATACAACTGGATTGAAGCATAGAAACACAAATATTGACACATAAAAACCTGTCAGATAGAAATTCAGAATGCCACTTATGCATCAAAATTGAAAAAGCTATGAAATGCTTATTTTGACCATAAAATGCCAAAATTGGTCATTTTTGCAGAAATTCTATCAAATAAAAGTTTAAATCCTTTAGTTTTATGCTATTTGATAAATTGACACCATCAAATCACTCAGGGAAGTTGCCAAAGTACAGATTCTATATTTCCTGATTTCACCTAATAGGGTAGAAAAAGTTGACCAATCTTAATGAAACTTGGTATGACTAAAGCTTATTAAATTATAAGACTGCTTACAAAGATTCATGGCAATAGGATATATATTATAGACAATATGACTAATTCTATATTGAACTTTGAGTGTTAAATTAAGACGTTAAAATTGAAAATTTTCAACTATCAACATTTGGGGCTTAAAAAATTAAAATATTGCAAAAAAATACTTTTGAAATGCCTTAATATATAATATATTATGTATTAAAAGCAATAGAGTACTCATTTGATTTATCAGACTTATCATAATTATTAAAAAGTCAAATTTATATGAGCCTGTGGCTAAAAATGGAGGTTTTCCAATGAAGGGGGGCCTTACATGAAGATGTAATATTTTCCAGCAATTTTAAATTTGTAAAGCTTTTTGGTTATAAATAATCCTTACATATGTATTTAATGTACTTTAAATGGAAAGAAAACTTACAAATAACATATCACATTAGTTTAAAAGTGTCTTAGGCCAAGTAAGACTGAAAATAATTTAGGGTCAATTTAGGCCGTATCACATATTTACATTTAAAAATGCATATTGAAGCTATATGAAATAAAATTTTGTATCTTTTCTATCATTTCTATACTCAGGTGACATGATACAATAAATCTGAGCACAAAAAGACTCTTGCATTCAACTTTTTTTGCAGACAGTATGGTCTGATAAAAAGATTTTTCACTTTTTAGTGAAAAACATGCATGCAATTTTAGTCTCAACAGGCTTATATTTGAACCACTTGCTATCCTACAGAAGAAAAGAAAGATATTATGTGACATAAAACCGGTACAAAAGACATTGTTAAGTGCTTTTTATACAAATTTAGTGAGGTCTTTATAATGGACTTCAACTTTTATGTTCCAAGCTCCTCACATTTAACTTGATACAAACAGGGCGTTAGACGAGGATCATATATACAACACATTTTGCGCATATTGTCTGAGATAATCTTCTTTTCTGTAGATTCAGAGTTCACAAATGAGTAATACAACTGGATTGAAGCATAGAAACACAAATATTGACACATAAAAACCTGTCAGATAGAAAGTCAGAATGCCACTTATGCATCAAAATTGAAAAAGCTATGAAATGCTTATTTTGACCATAAAATGCCAAAATTGGTCATTTTTGCAGAAATTCTATCAAATAAAAGTTTAAATCCTTTAGTTTTATGCTATTTGATAAATTGACACCATCAAATCACTCAGGGAAGTTGCCAAAGTACAGATTCTATATTTCCTGATTTCACCTCTTAGGTCCGAGTACACAGTTATTTCGTAGTGCATTTCTTTTAGACAATAAATGAAAATTAAAAAAATCTCACCTGCGCTTTCTCAATAATATTTTTACAGTGTGTTGTACTACTTTTGGGACAAATTATATCAAAATTATAGAAAACTTCATCGGCTCTAACTCAAAATATGGACAATTTCATGCTAAGGGGGTCTTCAAATCTTTTGACAGCTTCCGATGTGCTAATTTTTAACATTTTTCAGCTGGACCAAATCACTACTTTACTTTAAAATTCATGACCCAAATTTGTTTACAGTGTCATTTCACCCCCCTACTTACTATTTGAGTCATAAAACATGGAGAAATAAATTCGGAAGGGGTATAAAAAAAATCGACAAGTAACACACTGTCCACACTAGGGACTAATCAAAGAACGATAACTGTGTACCCGGACCTAATAGAGACTTAAATATTACTACCCAAATCTGTTCTTCAGAAAATGCATATATATTATATCTTGAAACAGCTCAAACAATACAAGACTGAAGACAAGCCGTACTGTGAGTTTTCTTTTTACCTTTGAGCTACTAAAGTTATTAGCTTGCAGACTAATTTCGGCAAGTTGCCATTGATTTCCTTGATTTCCGGCTTTCCTCCAAATTTGTATGCTTTCTTGATATACGCTTAAGGCACCCATTTTAGAACCATACATGTGGTAATGAAACTTTAGACATCCAGAAGATTCTGCAAATATGTATCATTCGTATAATAACAAATCTTTTAGTTACTATGTAAAGATTTTAAATTTCGGTAGCCGATATGTCTAGAAAGTGTACTTATTCAGATTAATATTACATATTACCGCGAGCCCGATATTGCTTGAAGGTGTATGGAATGTTTTCTAAAAAATGTACTCATTTGATTAATGGCTTTGTAATAAAGTTAAGTCTGTTTCACTTTTCAGTTTTTCATCATTTATTGCTGTTTATATTTGATTTATTTAAAGTAAGATCCTTTGGGTTATTTTGACAGTATATTCAGAGACTTCTTGATTATTAAACGAAAACCTATTATCATGATAACGGTTATTATTGTTGAATTGTTGAATGTATCATGTAGACGGGTCCTTACTGGGTTTGGCGATCAACTATGATACATAGCCGTACAGGAAGTGTAGTGTAATGAGGTGAAAAGTCAAAACAATCAACAGAATTAAAAGGACCATTAATGTCTTTTTTGTCGAACTTTTTAAAGCAATTTCTTTAATATATTGATCTAACTAAATGTTTCACCTTTAATTTATACTGTTAAAGAATTCGGAGTGATGATTATACTTTGAACAAAAAGTTAGACCATTTCTCAATGTTGATTGAAACCATATGTTTTACGGCAAAATGCCTATCTGTTTGAGAGTAACAAATACATAAATAATAAAAAAAATATAGAGGTTAAAAAAGTTTACCAAAAATGAAGTCCCGTGATAGCAATCTTGCAGCAGATCCGTCAGTAACAGATGATGTCTCGAAATATAAGTAGTAATCCCCTTTGTATGCTGAAGACGGACCAGTCGCTTTACTAGGTGTTGAGTTCTGCATAACGAAATACACGTATACATTAACCAATATGAATAATATTAAACAACAACCAAACAGCACAATAAGCGTGGAATTCTGTATAACAAATTTCCATATTTATTGCGTTTAATAAAACGAGACAGATATAAAAAAAAAAAACCCACCAAAAACGAATGTACTAATTGATACTTTAGTCAGGGAGAACTTGATTTATTTATTATTTTATTTATCATATGTAATTGGCTTTGAACTAGCTTCCAGTAACTCAAGTACTCTAGATCTTATTTCGGTACTTTTTCTTTTGTTTTTATGCCTCGTACCAATCCTTTGAATTCAGCCAACTCCAACTGATTTTTAAGGTTTTTTCTTATGTTGTGCTGTTACACCACTGTCCCAGGTTAGGAGAGGGCTGAACACTCACAAACGTGATTAACCCCGCCACATTCTTTATGTGCCTGTCCCAAGTCAGGAACCTGTAGTTCAGCTGTTGTCGTTGTTTCATGTCTCATACTTGTTTTTTGTAAATTGTTTTGTTATAAATAAGGCCGTTTGTTTTCTCGTTTGAATTGATTCACATCTTTCATGTCGGGGCCTTTAATGGCCAATTATACGGTATAGCTTTTTCTCATTGTTTAAGGCCGTAGTTGGCGTATAATTGCTAACATCAACTTCATTTTAACCCTGGTAGATAGTTTTCTCACTGTCAATCATACCACATCTCTCATTTAGCTATAATAGTTTGCCGCAATACTAAAACGTTTCCTTTGCATGCCTGTATAGATTGATTTTATTTTTGCAATTTCACAAGACCATGTTCTTGTTCTGTTTTTGACGTAGTTAAATGAAATGTTTGTTATTTAATGGCAGATCTTTGGTCGTTTCTTAAAAATTTATACCCATCTTTTAGAGACTCGGGACGATTTAGAGTTTGAGATAATGTATAGTCTGGTTAAATATTACATGTTCCATTTTAGATGTCTTTTGGTTGTTTTGTCATTCGGTTGCTGTCCCTTTGCCTTTTTAACCATTTTTTATTCGAGCGTCACTGATGAGTCTTTTTTAGACGAAACGCGCGTCTGGCGCAAATACAAAATTTCAATCCTGGTATCTATGATGAGTTTATTTACAACCACTGGGTCGATGCCACTGCTGGTGGAGTTTTTATTCCCCGAGGGTATCACCAGCTTAGTAGTCAGCACTTCTGTGTTGACATGAATTATCATTGATATGGTCATAATTATAAATTAACTGTTTTTAAAACTTTGAGTTTTTAAAATACTAAGGCTTTTCTACCTCAGGAATAGAATACCTTAGCTGTATTTGGCAAAACGTTTAGGAATTTTTGGTCCTCAATGCTCTTCAACTTCGTACTTTATTTGGCCTTTATAACCTTTTTTTGATTCGAGCGTCACTGATGAGTCTTTTGTAGACGAAACGGGCGTCTAGCGCAAATGCAAAATTTTAATCCTGGTATCTATGATGAGTTTATTTGGCGTATAACCCACATCTTCTTTAATTTATTACCGAATGTACTATCCAGTTGTGTTCGTCACTGAGATCCTGAATAAACATGGATCCCATGTTGTTCTCAAAGTCAGCTTCATAAACTTGAAAAATGATAAATTATGTATTTCAATAAATGTTAATATTTACAAAATTTACAAAAAAAATAAAATTATAGTTCAAAGATTGAAACAATTAAAATTTCGTTTTTTCTTATGTTCGTGTTAATCTAAGTCAATATAGGCTTCGGAAGAACGAGAACATGTTAATTTAATATGAATATTAAACCTGATTTGTACTGTACCGACACGCTGAGTTGCCAGTAAATAGTCCGCAGAAAGACATGTCAACCTACTAGGAAACATTATTCCGACTCCGAGCCGATCAGTCTTTGCTCTTACTTCTAAATGCCGCATGCCTAGCGGAAAAGCAGCAAATACCATTATTACAGTCTTTAGTTTGACCAAGCCGGGGTTCGACCCCTCGATCTGCAACACTCGAAACGTACACGCTACCACGAAACCATCGAGTCGGTATCAGTTAGTATGTCTTACGGTTATACATACGTATACCAAAGTACAAAAATGTCTGATCCCTAAGTGTGTATGTGCATTGTTGAAAGAGTTCTGCAAAAAATATTACACATTTTTCAAAGCTTCTGTTTAATTTATCCAACTTTGATCCGATTCGGTGCGATTAACTGGCATATTGTTTGATTGATTGGTCGCCGTTGTAATTACAGATATTTCATATAATATATATATATATATATTCAGGAGGAAAACACATTAACAATAAACCTAATAGGCAGGTTCTATAAGGTGGGTTGCCAGGAATGAAAGGAGGAAATTTCGACAGCCACTAGAAAATGAGGGTATGTTTGATAAGGTTAGACATTTTGCGTTGCAATGTACGAACTCCTTACCGTATCGTTGTTAACATTCATTCAGGTGAACTATGACACTTTCTTTACATGAGGCTTATAATTATAACGTCAACATTTAGACATGACGTCACTGCGTATGTATACTTCCAACATAGCGAAACGTAGGCCCAACTTTGTGTGTGTTTAACTGTTGGATGGGAAAACTCCAGGGACAACCATAATATCTTCATCAGAATCAACACGTAAGAGTGGACATATTAAATAGACAACTGTCTATAATTGTAGAAATTTAATGTTGACCTATAGATACCAATTGGTATTTTTGTCGTTTGATTGCTGTCTAAATAATTAATTAATATTATATTCATAATTATTGATAATAGCGATTATGTTCAATACAAATGCTTATAACTATGCACGTAAAAGTGGATATCATATTACTCACTTTCACCTTGTATTCCTGTGAATCCGTTTAAACACGAGCAAGAAAAATCCGAACCTGTCACAGAACAAGCCCCAGCGTGTTCACATGGGGATTTTGAGCATGGCGTTACTGGAAAAGAACAAATATAATTATAGATACATGTAAAAATAAGAAGATGTAGTATGATAGCTAATGAGAGAATATTCCACCAGAGACCAAATGATGTAGAATCTGTATACTAGTATGTAAATATTCAAATCATGTTGATCTGACCTTTTCATGGTAAAATATAGCATAAAGAAACCGAGTTGCAGTTATTAAGTCGCACAAAACAGTCATTTCGCCTTCAGTTACAGAATTGAATCTTCAATTCTGTGAATCTTCAATTCTGTGTAACACAGATCTCTTTTTTCAGAAAGACTTAATATGCAGATATAGTTGAAAGTTTATGAATAATGGAATACTTGTTATTCATTCCTTTATGTACGTACTATGTTTGGTTATGGTGGTTGTTAATCTACATTCTAATGTTTCTAAATTTTAGCTTCTTCACCAAAGAAGGTATTTATGACAGCCTTCGTTAATAATGTTTTAATATTGATGAAATCAAACTCAAATAATCAAAACATTTCTCTTATTTTCTTATGAATAAAAGGTAAAGCAACCAATGACAAAAATAACCAAAAGACATCCAGAGGGCAACAAACAGTCTTCCACAATAAACAGGCTTTAAAACGTTTAAACCCGCTGCATTTCTATGCACTGTCCTAAGTCAGGAGCCTGTTGTTCAGTGGTTGTCGTTTGTTGGTGTTGTTCATAAGCGTTTCTCGTTTCTCGTTTTTTATATAGATTATACCATTGGTTTTCCTGTTTGAATTGTTTTACACTAGTCATTTTGGGGCCCTTTATAGCTTACTGTTCGGTGTGAGTCAAGGCTCCGTGTTGAAGGCCGTACTCTGATCTATAATTGTTTACTTTTTACACATTGTGACTTGGATGGAGAGTTGTCTCATTGGCACTCATGCCACATCTTCTCATTTATATATTCTACACAATATATTAAACTCTTAATTGTTCCGAGTGTATATAAAAGTACTTTAGTAATGCATATTTAACATAACCAATCATTAAACATGTACAATAATGTTTTTCCCCAAACTGCCTATAACGTCTTTACACTAAATACATTAGAGATGTACTGATTGAAAATTTGGTCTTATTTTTTAGTTGAAATTTGGCTTTGAACGAGTGTTTAGTAACTGTTAGTGCTCTTTTACTTTGTGTGTTTTGTAAAAAAAAATAATTGTGCTTTGTTCTAATCTGATGCAGTAATAATCAAGTCGTTCGTTTTCTTCTTTAAATTGTTTCACATTTTGTCATACCCTGGTCACTTATAGCTTACTGTACGATATGCTTTAATCTCATTGCTGAAGGCCTATAATTATTCACATCTTTGTTCTTTATAAAGATAAGAAGATACGGTATGATTGCCAATAAGACAACTACTAACATATATCCACCATAGACCGCAGATATTGGCAACTATTGGTCACTGTATGCTCTTCAACAATGAGCAAAACTCATTTCGAAATGTAAAACAATTCAAACGAGAAGACCAACAGCCTAATTTATGAACAAAACAATAAACGGAAAAAATTATATATAGCAACACACGACAATCACTGAATTACAGGTTCCAGTATTATGACTGGCGGGATTTAACATGTTTGCGGGCCCCAAATCCTCCTCCCAATTATATATAACCTGGAATATTAGTGTAATAGAACTAAATGTAAAACTCAGTTGAAAAGGACTTCTTATCATATCGATAGAAAGTACATGGAACAAATACAAAAAAAATAAAGACATAAAGTACCGATCTGAGAGTACTCGTCGTTACTGAAAGCTTATTGCCAATAACAACTTATAAGATTATGTATCCAAGTCAAAATATCAGTCAGTACACATCTAATGGATTTTGTATAACCCTAGACGTCGTAAACAGTCTGAGAAAAACATGAAGTTTGCAATGTCAACATATAAGCATCAACAGGATGTATGAAAGTAAAGTTAACCTACATAACTGTATAGCAATACATATCAAATTATGTGTACATTTATGGATAACACAATCAATGTTAGTACCGATTTAGAAATATTCAGAGATCCTATAACTGTAACATTGTTAAATTGGTAACCTCTTAGAATAAGTTTATTCAAAAGATCGATAAGTGTAAAGGGAACATATCTAAATTTGCGGGCTATATAAACAACATGATCGTCAAAATTAGGATGAGATATGTCGATTGCAAAACGTTTTCTACTGCCAAACTGCTGAACATATAAAACAATTTAGTAAAGATTAGAAGTAATAAGTGGTAATGAAATCCCTCACTTAATAATTTACCAGTGATACATATATAACGTTAAACATTTTTGCGCCTGTCCCAAGTCAGGAGCCTCTGGCCGTTGTTAGTCTTGTATCGTTTTTAGTTTTAGTTTCCTGTGTATAATTTGGAGTTTAGTATGACGTCCATTATCACTTAACTAGTATACATATTTGTTTAGGGGCCAGCTGAAGGACGCCTCCGGGTGAGGGAGTTTCTCGCTGCATTGAAGACCCATTGGTGGCCTTCGGCTGTTGTCTGATCTATGGTCGGGTTGTTGTCTCTTTGACACATTCCCAAATCCATTCTCAATTTTCATAAAATCTATAATGTCACTACAGACACAGACACAGGCATAGCTTTATGGATATTTGTTTCAATGGCAATCGTACCACATCTCCTTATTTTTATAAAGATATGCGGTTAAACTCCATTCTTCAAATAACGAACAACAATAAGATACAATGCTATATGACAACAACTGACAAGTATCCTGACTTGGGAAGGCACAAGAAAATGGTTAAAATAGTTTTTTTTTTAGATCTTAACTATCCCCCTTTTTAATCTGAACCAGTAGAATAAAAAAACGTCCATAAAAGAATATCAGATAAAACCAATTAGAAGTATAAAATAAAGGTAAAATAAGCAACTGTCATCCATTTGGACACTTATTAATCGAATGCGTCGAATTAGAATGCAAACCTGATAAATATATTGATTGATTGTAGTTTGCTGAACATCCAATGGCAATCATTTTTGCTTATTCAGAACAATAAACTAGTAGAATTAACAACTTATGCAATAGGAAGGTTCTACGGACAGCTAAAGAATAGAAAGGAAATGCATATAATGTACAAATAAATTTGGTGTTTGGTTGAATCTGTAAAAAAAAATGTAAGGGGTTTCGCGGAACCCTGTGTCTTGCCTGCGATTGCTGCTGTCAGTGTAAATGTGTAAAAGTTGACTTAAAAAGTGAGTCCATTTATCGGTAAAATATAGAATTAAAAAAAAAGAAATTTAACTTTTTTTTAGATGCTATTTCTTGGTCTAGAAGATTAGCTTCTGTCCATGTTTCATGATAATCCATTAAGGTTGACAAATTTATCATGTCAAAAAAATTAAATCCCAGACAGACTGTCTGTAAAAGTTAACTGTAAAAAGTCCATCTATCAAAAAACTACTGAAAATGAAAAAATATGTATTCAAAAGTTTGCTTCAGAAATTATCTCTTAATCATAAAAAAGTTTCTACAAAAGTTTCATCAAATTGTATGAATGTTTGAAGTAATTGATGTGTAACAAACTTTATGTGCCTGTCCCTAGTCAGGATCCTGTTATTCAGTGGTTGTCGTTTGTTGCTGTGTAACATATTTGTTTTTCGTTCATTATTTTGTACATAGATTAGGCCGTTAGTTTTCTTGTTAGAATTGTTTTACATTTGTCATTTCGGGGCCTTTTATATCTGACTATGCGGTATGGGCTTTGTTCATTGTTGAAGGCCGTACGGTGACCTATAGTTGTTAATGTCTGTGTAATTTGGTCTCTTGTAGAGAGTTGTCTCATTGGCAATCATTCCACATCTTCTTATTTTTACATATAACCCCAGACTGTATCTACTTGTTAAATGTAAAAAAAAAACGAAGTCCATTTATCAGTTAAATACGGAAACAAAATTTGATCTGGATACTGTCTTTTGGTCATTAACAATCTTCTGTCCAAATTTCATAAAATTCCATGAAGATTTGACAAAGTTATTGATGACTGAAAAACTTTAACCTCAGACTGAGCCTGAATGTTAACTGTAAAAAAAATAAGTCAATTTATCAGTAAAATACGGAAAAATGAAAATAAATATTTTCCAAATTTCGCTTTACATGTAGATACCGTCTTTCGGTCATTAACAAGCTTTTGTCCGAATTTCACAAAATTCCATGAAGATTTGACAAAGTTATTAATGTCTATAAAAAACTTTAACCACAGACTGAACCTAAATGTTAACGTCTCCGACGACGGAATCTAGGATTGCTATGCCTCGCGTTCGCGACATGAATGACGCAGACTCGACAAAAACAATAGATTGCTATATTTCATAAGCTTACTTGTACAATTTTCACCAGTGAAACCATTTTTGCACGCACATTTTGGCTGAAATTCATCAAGAAAGCACGTCCCACCATTGTCACAGCTAAAGTTAACGCATGGAGTACCTGATATAAAAATCAAGTTTAAGATTAAAATTATGCGAGAAAGTAAAGAAATTTGAGGATCGTATGCTGCCCTTGTAACATATGTGTTCATGTTGTAAGAGTGCTGGCTAATAGACGTATAGTTCACAAATTTCTGTTCTTATTTCGCTGATTGCTGCTTGTTTTTCTGACTGCATAGTTTTTTTTATTTATAAATATAAGACGTTGGATTAAATCAAAATTAGTGGTATGACAGAAAGTGGAGTTATATTTCGGTTCAAAACAAAGTTGGGAGAAGCGTAAGAGTTAAATATACAGCAATCCAACATCACAACCGCTTGCAGATCAAAATATAGATATAAATAAAGATTGTCATTTGTTCGTGAACAATTGAGAGGACTTTCCTTTTCGTATATCTACTATTCACAGCCTTTAAAGTTCAAAAATATATGATTGCTAAGGACTTTTATGTTCATAACAAGTCATTGCTAAGGACAAAAATATATCTTCCAGTATTAAAAATGTCATATCTACTATTCATAGCCTTTAAATTTAAAAAATAAGTGGTTGTAAAAATGTCATATTTGTATTATTCATAGCCTTCTAAGTTCAAAAATATATGGTTGCTAAGGTTTTTTATGTCGTTGCCACGGACCTTGACCTTTGACCTTGACCTAAGTTTGTAGATCATATAATGCTGAAAATTTTTGCAATACAAAGTTTCTTTCTATCTCTAACCTCGTTTGAGATATAAGCAAAAAATCTTCATTTCGGACCCCGAAAACAGTTTTGGTGCCCTAGGTCCATAATGGTTGGTCCAATAATTTTTGACCCAGTATAACAGATGTAGATCTCTATAAGACACACATATTCTTTATACTATTTATCAGCCATTTTTACGGTTATTGAGTAATTCCGATAACAAGCTAAGGTCGAAATCTAGGTCATGACCTTGACCTTTGACCTTGACCTCAATTTCAAGGTCGTGGATCATGGACCTCATATCAAAAGGTTTAAGGTCTTTACGACTTACGGTTCATGAGATTTAGAGACACACCGCTTACGTCAAATATTTAAGGAGAGATAACTCCTATAAAAAGTCAACGAATAACTTCGGCTCAATGTTACAAACTTGCACTATGTCCCAAGGAACAATTTAAAAAAAAACGTTTTGTCGATATCTCATACGGTTTCTTAGGAAAAGCGATAACAAGGTTTTTGGTGTAAGGGGAGATAACCGCTATAAAGGAAATGTTACGGCGTGGTGCCTTAACTACAAGATAGCTTTTGGTCATCCGATACTTGATATTTAATATCATTTCAACATGTCTGGTACTTTTTTTGGGAAATGTCGTTAAAGTTTGGCGGAAAAAGAATAATAATAATCAGAAGAAATACAGTAAGGTCTTTCCTATAGTGAAAGGAAAGACCTTAATTATAATGCATCCTTTGCCTGTTTACCTATTTATACCAAAACAAATGAAAGAAGAAGACAAACCCTTCACTTATACTTGTACTATATACCGTCCAATATTTTTGTCGTCCCTCCTATTATCAATTAAAATCTCACCAAAATGAGTTTTATCTGTTATTTCAGAAAGTCTATATCTTATTTTTCTTAAACTATATGGGCCCTCGGAAGCATGTAAGGTTCACCTGGAAGCATGCATTACGAATTAGGTTAAATTGGTTGTCATACAAAAAATTGCGTCAAAGTGGACATTATTCGTGCATGCTGTAACTGTAACTGTTTCAGTTTTAACATGTATCATACAAAAATTCAATTATGTTATTACTGATTTTTTAGTTGTTTTTTTAAGAACATCGCATTCAAACGATTTGTAATTGTGAATCTAATTCGTAATAAGGAATTCCAAAACTTATAATAACAATAAAAAAAATAAAAATCATAGTAATAATGATGAAATTAATATACGGAAAAAACCAAACCGAAAACATAATTTTTTATATTTGTTGTTTCCCTAATGGGCTTTCGAAGAAATTTCATTTCTGGACTGTCTCAAATTATCTCCTTTATTCAATGTCCGATATAATCAGACATGAAAATAAATAAATTAATACTACCTTCACATCTTAATCCATTAAATTCTGTATGGCAAGTGCAGAAAGCAATGTCTCTGGAAACTGAACAATTTCCATCATGAAAACATTGCACATGATCACAAGGAGACCCTATTAAATTAAATAACAGATGTACGTGTTTACATTTTCTTACATAATGTTATTTTTACATAAGAGGAAGAAGTCAAATTAGTTCAACAATGATTTATTTAGCTCTAACGCTTAAATACAAAAAATAATCCAGTACTATAAATCCATAACACGACCGTAATCATTTCTTTTTTGATTTACATATTCTATTATTAATAGGGACTTGACTACAGTTCAGATATATAGCCCGTTAATCGTCTTCGTGCGTTTAAAAAAAAACGTATATCCGTACTATCCAAAGGTGTTGGATAAAAGGGAAATACGTTTTTTTAAACGGTGTTGGATAGTAGGGATATACGTTTTTTTTAACGGTGTTGGTTAGTAGGGATATACGTTTTTTTAAACGCACGTAGACGATTTACGAGCTATATATCTGACTTGTAGTCATACAAGTTCTGACAACATTAAAGAGACAATTCCCCGAGGATTGACTGGAGTTTAAAATTTGATCACCTCTCGACTTCTCCCAGTAACACCAAGGCTAAAGTGGTGTGTCCGTTTTCCTATGCGGGATGTATTATAAAATACGCCACCACGTCTGGCCAGAGAGGAGACGTTGAAGCTAATGTATAGTTCAAACATACTATTTTCAATCGGAAGTCGAAATTTTAGATTTTATTTTGGATTTGCTTGTTAATATGACACAATTCAATTTATGGTTGATATACACGATATAAATACAACTATATTTTGTAATGCCCATATTTAAATAAAAACAAAAAAGTTTTAAACAGAAGCACGGTAGGAATAGATATACTACAAAACAAAGTTACAAAATGAAATTATAAGATCAGACTAAAGTGAGTGTGAATAGCTAGTTATATGTTCTGAATCTTCATATATTTGTAGGAACCGCGATGCTATTCTTAACTGTGATGGTCACGCTGATGTACGATGATTGAGCTCTAAAGTGCGTTTTTGTTCACGCTGAATTGCGATGGTAGCATTGTGACGCTATCTTGTTGATAGCTACGCCTAGGTGCGAGGTGGTAACGCTGAATCTAACTACTAAGGATTTTCTACCTCAGGACCTGTATTTGGCAGAACCTTTTGGTGCTCTTCGACTTCGTACTGTATTTTGCTGTTTAAAATGTTTTGATTCGAGCATCACTGATAAGTCTTTTGTATACGACACGCGCGTCTGAAAATTTTAATCCTGGTACATTGTATCAATGATGAGTTCATTTTCATGTCTATGTAGAAGTCAATTTGTTTGTTAGAAGCAGTTTTTCGTAATACATGGCTTATACACTTTTTAAACTACGGGAAACGGGATATGATTGGTGGAGAGGGGAAGGTTATCCTTCTGTAGCTGGTTTTGTTTTACGAAATCTACAAAAGTTCAAAGTTTACGTACGATGGAGCGTGGCATTCTCTAAATTCATACGGGTCCGCATACAGAGGCTCATAATAATTGAACATCTGTAGATTTCAAACTAGTCATCACTCGTCATATAGTCTATCGAACATCAGTGAACGGACCATCGCACTTCGGCGCAGACCATCGCATTTCAACGTGACCATCGCACTTTAGAGTCCCCATCGCACCTTCGAGTCCTACATATTTATCAAACTTTTTATTAATACATTGTATTTTTATTTTCCAATTACTTTGGCTGAACTAAATTGTCTGTAGCAAAAAAATCGTTGCGGTTAAAAGTTGTTTAATTCGACGAGGGATTTTAGGGTAAGACTGATACGTAATAGGTACACCGGTTTCACACACGAGGAGTAATCGAGTGTTGTTGCTTGATGTGATATGTTGGACTTTTTCAGTATTTTTGGTGATTCCTGTTCTCCTTAGTTATAAAATGCATTATTCATAAAAACATTTTACTTTTATTAGTTTTTCTGTTTTTTCTACCTCGTCGACTTATTATTGAAAATGTGGTTCAGTTACAGTTACAGAACATCACCCTATCCCCGTCTTTCTATTCTTTTTTTCATATAAGTTTCTTACCCTTCGTTGATAGCATCAACCACAATAGTACAGCAACAACTGACATTAGCCCAACACAAAGGAAGGCGGATAATACACATGCGGTTCTCCATGTTTTGCTTACAACTTTCACATTTTTCACTTTCTGTTTACTAGGTAGTTTTAAGTCAAAGTCTTGTTTCCCTTCAGTTCTGTCGCCATTGCCTTTTCTCTTGTTTTCTGAGTTAGTAGATTTACTTGCATCACATTTATTCCAATCTGTATATTTGTTTTGATTCTTTTTTTCCTCCGACGGATAATCAACACATTCGGCAATTTCTTCATAATCTGATTGATCATCATCTTCATCCGTAACAACTGTTACTTTGCTGTCAAACTTTTCATTTTCATAAGTTCGAAAACACTTTTTATAGTTTACTGCCATGCAGTTAGAATATAAATCAAACTTACTTAAATATTGTTAGTGTCTAGTTGTATAAGTATTATACGGATGAAACGTTGAACACTGTGATATAAAAATTAGATTGTTTCCTTGTTTTACTTCGGTATAAGTGAAATAGATCATTGTGTCGGAAGCCAATACTTACATTCAGCTATATAAACAAGTATAAGTCATCGAAACTTAGGCGTCATATATGGAAAAATACGATTTCATAGGTTTTATGTTTTGAAGTACATATTTGGTTGAAGCTGCTGTTTCGTAGTTGAATAAAAAAAACTGATATTGGTTGAATATAATTGTAAAAATAGAAAAAAGAAAAAGATAACTGACTTTTCAGACGTTTATATATAATAAATATGACACGTTTTGCTGGAAAGCGTTTGACAATTTCTAAAAACGTTATTATATGCAACTAGGTAGGTTTTATTCTGATATAATATGCTTTGTGCAGCGTTGCACTTTGGATAACTTGATTCATTTAGTATAAATAAGAATAGTTTTAATTAAAGAGATAAACTAACACATATCTAATCACATCAATAAAATGACAGTTTAAAAAAGTCTTGTTTGTTTTTACATGAATGATAAATCTGTTTTTATACTATAAGATACTGAAACTATAACGACTGTAGCTGTATTTTAGCTAAGAAAATGAGTCTTTCTTATATATTTATTTACTCATATAAAATCCATGCAGTTATCCCAGTTAAGTCAGGATGCCTTAGTGGCAGAGTGTTCTGAGAATTTCATCTACTGTCAACTTCGAGGTTTTTAGGGGCAGGGTGCTTTCGACTCCGATCTTAATTGACTATGAATGTCAGTTTCCTACCGGTTTCCTCCGCTATAAAAAGTGACCAAAGTGAAATAGCCAAGAATGCTGAAAGAAGCATTCAACATCAATATTCAATCAACCAATTAACCCATTAGAAAACATAATAACCTTTGCAGCAACTGTCTGAGTGGTTCGTCTAAATGTCTGCCTCTTTCCAACATATAACACGCATTTTCAAGTGACATGCAGTGTGGGAAGGATGTACGTATGTGTTAGGACTTTTTTTAATAAACATGTACCTCAAATGATACTGTTGGTAGCTTATCACTATTTTTGCTATTGTAAGTTTGATTGTAAATAGGCGAGTGACCGTTTTTATAAAGACGCTTTGTTAACGACTTTAATGCACCCACCTAACATACGGCTATATCATATATTATTCGAAAGCTTATTAACTGTACTTTCTGTTTATCCCGGTCGTTAATAATTCGTACGGTGCAATTTTCGTTAAATCAAGGTCAAAGGTCAAAACTGAACAGTCCTAAATTTTGCTAGAATTAAACATAGTGCTCTTTTCTAGTACTTGCATGATATTTGTAGAATATCTGAACCTTATAAAACAAAATACCATTAGTCCAAATCAAATGCAAGCTAAAATGCTAATTGCACAATATTTACAGAAAATTGTATTTCTTGAAAAAACTTCCAAAAATGATAAAATTGCAATAAAAGCTAAATTATTCCTGAGGTTTGAATATTCAGATGTCAAAAATAGAATAGATTTATCGTTTTTAGGCCATGGGAATTTTTTCATCATTTTAAAATACAATTAAAACGATTATATGTACGGTTGCAGCCTTCTAAATGAAGCTTTTACAGTTGCCCCAAAAAAAAAACACCATCTGCAAATAAGGATTATTTTGCTTTTTTTTTCGGCTAGATGATATTGTCAATATCGGCAGAAAATGATTAACGATATTTGAAAAAAAGTAATGGAAGAACTTTAAGGAACACACAAGGTATATTTAGTAAAAATTTAGTTTTCCGAAGTCGAAAGACATGTTACGAAGTTTGTTCTCTTTCAATTGTCTAAGGAAAACTGTTTGTAGCATGCGCTTTTCAATAACAAATCCGGCAAATGCCTTTTAATGTAAGCCCATTATTATATACTTTATAAGTTGTTTTATCAAATATGACTGAAAATTAATATATGAGGAAAATTGAATACCATTCATGAGCAACTGCGATCAGCACCGGGTTTAAGCAGTGTTCGCACATTTCGGTGAAGTGTTTTGAGGAGTGTTTATAAAAAAGAAGTTGTGGTATGATTGCCAATGAGACAGCTCTTCACAAGTGACCAAATGACACAGAAATTAACAGCTATAAGTCACCGTACGGCCTTCAACAATGAGTAAAGCCCATACCGCATAGTCAGCCACAAAAGGCCCCGAAATCACAAATGTAAAACAATTCAAACGAGAAAACTAACGGCCTAATTAATGTACAAAATAAGGCTTAACTCATCAGATGGATACAAATAGGAATACATCTAACTAAAACACGGGTGGAAGTTGTTTGTCAGTTCTTCTTTTTCGCCTTGATCATGCTGTGATCTGTTTTTCTTCGATTATGGTTTGATTCTAACTTCTTGCTATTTTCTTCTTTCTTTCACCCAAACAAAAAAAAAGGGAAACAGATGGTTCAAAGCTGAGCGATTAAAAGACAACAGAATTTAAAACTCATATATCGTTGCAAGATATAAAAACCAAATAGTAAAACAACAAAAATACCGAACTCCAAGGCAAATTTAAAACAGAAATGACAAAACCAAAAACTCAAACACATCAAACGAATAGAAAACAACTTTCATAAACCTCGTTCTGCTTTCTCTCTCTCTCTCTCTCTTTATAGAAAATGGCGGAAATGTAGGAATTATTTTGTCCCTAGGTCCTTTTTTTCTTTCCGTTTAATATATCCATCTGTTAATCTAAATACTTTGTAATGAGCAATATTCCTCCTACATTGATTGGTATAGTGAAGTTCCAAGTTTAAAAACATATGAGGTTGTACTTGAATGGATTATTTTCATAATACACATATTAAAATAGAATTGAAAATAATAGTAATCTTCAAATTTACCATAACATACCTGCTTTTAAGCTATCTCATAAAGTTAACCCAAATCTAATTAAAATGTAGATCTCTGATTTCGTTATCCTCATACGATATATGAGCAGTCGAGTCGTGATAGATCTGAACTTTAGTCAAATTGTTTTAACCCATGTTTTTACACTAATACAAACCATTTTGTACGTTTTAATTCTTGTCAACTAATATCACTGATCATTGTTTTCAGATCTTTGCACCATTCGAAACTCAAACGAAACATAATGGAAATAAAGTGTTAAAATCGCCAAAAGTCGGTGTCGGATCAATAATAAAGGACTGAGTGCAAAATACATATCCACAAAAATAATTTTAGTTAAGATGACATAAAACCAATTTAAAAACCACAATTTTAATTTCTCACAATTCTCAAAAATATTTTAGAATACAAATAACTTCATTTTAACAATATATACTCTTACATGTACATGTGCTATCTTTAATATGCCAATGTTCAATCAATGCTTGACAGATGATCTACTAAAATAGCGCTCTGTTTTTCTGAATGCCTTAAAAGAAAATATTATGTGGCACATCTACATTAAAATCTTAATGCAAAACCATGGCCACTTAAATTTGAAATGAAAGTTATGGTTCAAATGCATTTATATTTTAGTTTCTTTTAAGCAAATTAATTTGTAACATGTAGCTGAAGTAAACATTAATATCAAAACTGCTTTGTTTGGTAGAGGTTGCCTACTTTTACAAAAGGCTATTGATGCTGATTGGTAGATTTTTTGTTGTGACACCCACACAGTAATTTCGTCTATGATACGAATAAATATATCTCATGTATTGTTGACGGGGATTACCAGTTTTCCTGCCGAAGGTTGGTGGTTCCTTAGGCACTCCGTGGGCCTCCACCAATAAAAACTGATCGCTGCAAAATAATTTAGTAGCGAAAAGTGCTGAAAATTGCGTTAAACACCAACAATCAATCAATCATCTTTATATTACAATGAACTAATTTATTTATGTATTATTGTCATTTTATTCATTTTCTTTTGTTTCCTTTTCTGACATCGGACTCGGACTTCTCTTATACTGAGTTTTACTGTGCGTACTGTTGTGCGTTTGTTTTTTCTACATTGGCTAGAGGTATAGGGGGAGGGTTGAGATCTCAAAAAACATGTTTAACCCCGCCGCATTTTTGCGCCTGTCCCAAGTCAGGAGCCTCTGGCTTTTGCTAGTCTTGTATCATTTTTAATTTTAGTTTCCTGTGTATAATTTGGAGTTTAATATGACGTCCATTATCACTGAACTAGTATACGTATTTGTTTAGGGGCCAGCTGAAGGACGCCTTCGGGTGCGGGAGTTTCTCACTGCATTGAAGACCCATTGGTGGCCTTCGGTTGTTGTCTGCTCTATGGTCGGGTTGTTGTCTCTTTGACACATTCCCCATTTCCATTCTCAATTTTAACTATTCAGGACGTGTACAATGTAAGTATTGTTATTGCGAATTGCTAGAATTTCCAAATCTAAAAAAACATAATGTAAGTAACTATAATTGCAACATGTCTCAATTTATTTACAAGAAATTAAGTAGTTTGATAGGATTAAATACTTCGGCTAGGCATGAAGAACATTTTCAGTGGCTAGCTTTTAATAGTTTTTACTTCCTTAGTTAATGCACGATGCAGTATAAGCAACCAAAAAAACATATAAATATTGAAATATCAAAGTTTCGCTCCCAAACTTTCCCCTAAAAGCATGCATTTCCTGTGTAGTATAGCCTTTAATCTTGTTGCACTTTTAAGATTTGTGTTTTTTCAACCTAATATTACTACGTACAATTTGTGTTAACATAGAACAGCTAAAAAGGCTATCTTTTTGCAGATGGCGGTATTTTGGGCAGCTGCATGGGTTGTTATAATTGGCTGTTTAATTAACAAGAACCGTAATTGCAGTAATTTGATTATGTCAAAAACATCCTTAGCAGTAAATAAAATATATTATTTGGTTTTTTTGTGAATAACAATTGAATCACAGACAAAAAAAATAGGTTTTCAAACATTTTTATCATTTTCACTGGAATTTCTGGAAACGGCGTCAATTATTAAAAATCCGACTTTAATATTTCGAAGTGATTTTGATAAGTAACTATTAACATCTGTTCTGACAGATTTTCATATTTCCATACAAAATATTATTATTCAGAAGACACAATATGCAAAAATGCTGGCATCTTGTAAAACTATATATCGTCTGTCCTTGACTTTTCATCGTGATTTGACGGAAACTGCACCATACGAATATTTGACGACCGGGTGATGAAGGATGAAAAACATTGCCTTCCCTCTAATTTTGTTATGGGTAAAACAAAACCTTTCGTTTAGAAAAATTCGCCGTGAAGGGAGTACGGTGACCTAAAGTTTCTAACTTCTACGTCGTTCGGTATATGGTGGATTGTTGTCTCATTGGTAATGATACCACATCTTCTATTTTTTTATATGAGTATTTTACAACAAAACCGTACCAACATATAATAAATGTCTACCCAGTATATCATACCGGTTCCAGATTTTTCTTATTAGAAGTTAGGGATGTTCGTTGTCGTCCGTATCATACTTTTTTCTATTATGACATTTTTCTATCAAATATATATACCGTGTTGTGAATCCAGGGGTTTCGTACATATTGTGCCAAATATATATTTCATTATAATAAATTAGTAATGCGTCTGTGGGAAAATGTACCATACGCCACTAGATTAGTATAAACATTGTTTTGACCTTAACATTTATTTCTATTTCTGTCGAATGTAAAATGGTCGAAAGAAAACAATTAATGACACGTATTTGAATGAAATATATAGGATGTACGTCAAAGTCTTAAATATCTCTTTAACAAAATATTGGTTTTTCATAAACGTTTTTAGCTCCCCTGGCTTTTTTCATCACTTGGCACCGTCGCCCGTCGTAGTACGTTGTCCGTGTCCGTCGTCCGTCGTCCGTTAACTTTTACAAAATTTTTCTGTGAAACCACCTGGCCAAATTTGGCAACTATCGTCATTGGGGTATCTAGTTTAAAAAAAAATGACCCCGCCTGCCAACGAAAATGGCCGACACGACTAAAAATTGAACACGGTGAAACAAAGGGGGGGGATGAATACAACTGTTGCTTATAATTTCGAAAACTGCTATAGATAGAGAACCTGTGATATGAGCAAAGGTGTTCAAAATGTTGAGTTCTGATTTTTGTCTATTTACGTCAAAACTGCCAGATGACTTCTTATAGGTGTTATTGCCTTATAATAGATACACAGAAACTTTAATACCATAAATTATCATCAAAAAATATCTACAAATAAGTCAGCATAACTAAAATTGTCAGACGTCTCCTTATTCGTGTTATTTCCCTTTAATGACGATTTTTACCATTGTTTTTGCGTGTTTGCTCAACATCTAATAACTATAATATATAAATAGAAACTTTAAAAAGCAAAAATGGTCAGCAAGATAAGATCTACAGATAAGTCAACAAGACCAAACCCGTAAGTCGACTCCTTATTAAAGTTATTGCTCTTTGATGACGGTTTTATATAAAAATAAAGAGATAAATAGAAACTTTGGAAAGGAAAAATTATCAGCAGGATAATTTCTACAAATTGGTCAACATGACTGAAATTATCAGTTAATTGTTGATAGAGTTGTTCCCCTTTTAATAATGATTTTTACTAAAAAGTGGTCATTGTTGAAGTGACACAGGCCCTTTAGAGCCTCTAGGTATTATGAAACATTGTGCGTCATTTCTGATTTATAAACTATAAATTTGAAATATTTCCTTCCAAATCAAGAATTTATTGTATTTATTTTGTTCTCAAATGTGCATTAATAAAATCTGATTATTTGTCAAACCAGAGAGTAACTATGACAATTGAAGTTTACTGGCATATGTTTTACGATATATATATATATATATATATATATATATATACTAGAAAAAATCCGCTGGCGAGCGCGGCTTGGAGACTACTTGAAATGTTTATGGTGATACACAGCTTGGGTCCGTGTTTCTCAAACTGTTTTTATGCGCTGATGCATTATGTTGATAGTTTTTATTAGTTTGTCAGTTCTTCTTCCATAGGAGTTTGAATGTTCAATTAGTAGCTTCTGTCTCGGTGTTACACAGGTGCTTCTAGAACGGAGGAAATAACTCAGAGATGAAGAAGACAATCTAGAACTCTCTGATGATTTAAAACATTTCTTCAGTGGTGCGAGTTTGTAGTATTTTTTTTTTTCGAGTGGTGCGAGTTCTGTCTCTATGTGACACGGGTGCTCCGAGAAAGGAGGAATTTACTAAGAGCAGAAGAAAACAATCAAATGATTAAACACATTTCTTCGAGTTTGCTATATTTCTTCTTTTTTTTTGAGTGATGCGAGTTTGATAAAGTGTTGCAAGTTGTAATAACAAGCAGTTCTTTCATCAGCTCCGTTACTAAACAAAATTATACCATCTACTCAAATTCCAACAGTAAAACGGAGAACTCAATTTATATATTAACATGTGACACATGTGGCATTCAGTATGTGGGAGACACAATGGACAAATTTAATATTCGGCTCAATAACCATCGTTCATGGTACAAAACCAACAAAAACTGTCCTCTCACAAGACATCTTCGTTCAACGAAACATTCTTTTGATAATGTTACCTTCCAAATCATAGAAGTCAACACCGAGTGGGACACCACGGCGAGAAGGAGAAGAGAAAATTTTTGGATCCACCAACTCCACACTTTAGAACCTGATGGTCTTAACGAAAAAGATGAGAAAAGATACAGGAAAGATAAAGAATAATCTAGTACACAGCATCGTCCTTTTTATCCTGTAATATTGGCCAATGGACGTTGCTAACTTCAACTACCAATTTTGTAAAAATCTTGAACTTCATCCAAATTATGTATTATTTTCAAGGCAGCTAAATTCAAGTGCAACATATACATTGACCTGCAAAAGTTTCTTATCATCTACATCCGATTTCACCTGGATAGATGCACGCTTGATAAAGCTAGTTAGTCTAGCGAAATATTGCGTTTATTTTCATCATTTTGTAAATATTTTAAACATTCTTATATTTACATACTAAATAGTGTGTTAAAATTACATTGTTAGGCAATCTATATATATATATATATATATATATAAATCCGTTATATGTTGCCTGTAAATTGGCACCAAAGAAGTATTTAGTCTGGCGCAAATGAAATACAAACCGGTAGCGCAAATTAAATACTACATATTTCAAAAATTGGCGAAAAGGCAATGCACCCGTTTATACATATAAATTCATAAGCACTTATAAATGTCTGTATTTCCGATGTTTAAATTTGTGTATTTGATTAAAATGTTTAAAATACATGAATTCTGAACCAAAAAAAAAACCTAAGTTGTTTCGGAAGTAAAGTAATATACAAATGTCTTTCAGTTTCAAATTAATTCATTTCGTTTATTATGGAAATATTCTTTAACGAGAAAGATTACCAAGGCATGTTTAATATTGAATAAGATTGGTTTCCAACAACAATGTCAAATATAAAAATAAGAAGATATGGTATGATTATTTATGAGACAACTCTTCACCAGAGACCAAATGACGTAGAAGATAACAACTATAGGTCTCCGTACGACCTTCAACAATGAGCAAAACCCATACCACAAAAAAGCTATAAAGGGCCCCGACATGACAAATGTAGAACAATTCAAAAGAGAAAAGTAACGGCCTGATCGATGTACAAAATAATAAGCCAAAAACATGCATGATATACAGTAACAAATGACAACCACTTATATCTATTAAAGGCTTCTGATTTTGGACAGACACATACAGAATCAGTCTGAAAGCAAGGTTTTAGAAACGATAGTTGTTGCTACTTTCTAAAGACAACAATGGGACTGATATTACAGCCCGCCATTCTGCAGTTGCGTTATTTTTTGCGAAAAAAAATGAAATTGGCGACAGTTTGGAAATTTTTCTGTTTTCTGTTTCTTGCTTGCTACTGGAGTCAGAAATTGTGTTTTTCTATCTCTTACGCATGTGTCTTGTTATAATATAGAAAATATAACTCAAATTGGCCATCATAAAACACTTACGTTGACAATTTATGCGATGTTGTCTGTTAGTTTTTTCTTCTTTTTTAACAGATAAACTAACATTATATAATTTTTACAGAAGTAAAAAAAAATATGATATGTATATCAATGTTAGAACAAATATTTTAAGTTTAACGATCTGTCATCCCTTTTGAAACCCAGTTTAGACTAGATTCCGAAGGATAGACATGTTTTGACATTGTAGATTTTTGTTCTCACTCATCGATGCATGTCAACATGCATGTGAACCGAATGTACACAACGTTTAATCTGGAAGTGCACAGCTGTTTGAAAAAGCAATGGAGAATTCAGCTGTGAACTTGACTGGATTAATAATTCGACGTTAACTGAAATAAAAAGGTAAGGTAATCTTATACATTCTGTGCACAACAGCCACAAGCTAAAATCAAGATGAATTGACAAAATCATCCATAGACACTCGTGATAGAAATATTTTATCATTTTAGTAATAAAAAACTCCGGTAAAAGTTTTAAGTTAATACAAATATTACATGTATTACCATTAAACAAATTTGTCCACTAACCCATACTTTTCTTTTCATAAATATTTAGCCATATTTAAAAATCTCATAAAATCCTTGTTATTTTTTCATAGTAAAGCGGCAATGTTAAAAGTATGAAAAATCTAGAAAGAATCATTTCCCGCCAAATTTTCAATGGCCTATCATATCTCGAAAAACAAGCACACGGACCATTCATTTTTATGCCTTTTTAGTTCCTTTATTTATACTATCATTTTATAACAGTCTTTTAAAAAAAACCTTGTTATTTTGAAACAGAGTAGCGAACATCCTTAAAGCAATCTCTATCAGACTTGCATTTTTAATCACTCTTTTTGAATGGACGGCCATTGTCATAATTGTCATAAAGTGTGACTTAATTTCTGTCGGTGATCATATGATTATTTTATATCATTTAAACGGAAATTTACTTATCATCAAGGTATGATTTTCTAAGAAAAATATATGCGTTAGAAATTAGAAATTAGATGATTCTAAGACAAACTACACGACGTTTATTGCCGATTTTACGTGCTTTCTATACAAATGTTCACCTATTTTGAAAGAATTCAATCAGTAATATTCCCGGAAATAAAAGAGATAAATGCATTTTTTTTTATTTTCAGTTATGATTCAACGAGCAAAAGTTATATGTAAAATTTCCCCAAAATCTGTGACATGGCCGATTTACTATTCCTTGACCATGTTGACCTTAAGTTTCAGTGACATTTTATCCCTATCTAGATCCAGTATTTATACATAGTTTGGCTAGCCCTTACCTTCATGCATTAGAAATTTATTTCTGTGTTAGTATTATTCGGTTACAGCAGTAAACATTTAAACTAAAATATTAAAGTAACTCATGGGATAATATATAATGTCCCAGAGTAACTGCAAAGCCCTATTTCAGTCCAAAAACTGTTTTGAAAATGATAGAATATGTTTACCTAAATGTTTTACATAGTAGTATACGACTATAATCTAACCGCCTCGGTGGTCTCGTGGTAACGTGTTCACCTCGAGTGTGGGAAGTCGTGGGTTCGAACCCCGGCTGGGTCAAACCAAAGACTTAAAAATTGGTATTTGCTGCTTCTCCGCTTAACACGGGCATTAAGGGGTAAAAGCAAAGACTGGTCAGCAAATAATAAGCATAATAATATAATATAATAATATATAAGTCAGAATAATGTATCCGGGTAAGATGACATGTCTTCCTACGGACTGTTATCTTGTGAACTAGCACGGTAAACATCCGGCTCTGCGTGTCGGTCTAGTAGAAAACAGGGTTAATATTCATAATACATTAACTCGTCCTGAATATGCATATGAATTTGCCGATTGACGTTAAACAGTCATCCATCATCACCATCATCATCATCATCATCATTATCACGAATACAATCAATAATATTTAGTTAAAATGTGATAATCTATTATGATTATGCTCGCTTGTAAATAACAGCATATGCTGCTAAAAGGATCAAATTACAAATAAGTTGGAAGTGTCAACAAAGGGACGTAACTCTTGAAATATCGGAACCGCTTCGTCAGAACTATTGACAGATCGAAGTGGCACATTAAGTGGCACAAATTTAGCACAGACCAGTTATGAAAGTCCCCATCACATTTAAATTCAACATATGTTCCCAAGAAGTAAATAAAGAAATTTTAACTTCTTTGGTGAACAAATTGACAAGCCAGGTGACGAGCTCGGGTTTGAAGGCTTCGTATTCTAATTTAGTATGTTTAATCAACACCATTTCTATGTTAGAACTTTTAAAAATTATACGCAGTTGTCATTTATAACGTACAGCATGCTCTGATGTCATTTTAGAGTACTTTTTGGAGGAAGCAGACTCGTTTCAGTTGATTAAAAAATGTCTCCAAAATTTCCAAAATATGATAGTCACATGACATCCATTATTGTCTTTAGTAATGGCGTCAAACCGGGGTCTGTTTTCCGATTGAAACATGTTTGATGGCGCCAAACCTTACCCTTTACAGAGAGCTTCACAATGTATTTTAAGCTTTGAAAACAAATGTATGTAAAATGATTGCGAAATATTTTTGTATTATAACAGAGTCTCCTATATTCAAACTTTCAACCATTCTCTCTCTCTCTCTCTCTCTCTCTCTCTCTCTCTCTCTCTCTCTCTTATCGGTTTTCCTCACAAATGATAAAAACAGGCAAGGTAAATGAGAAAACATATCATATAATAAGAAGTAATGCAATTACTAGTAATAATAACTTCTTCTTACTGCACCGTATGGCAAATTTACATTAATAATTAACACTTATCCCTAATATATCACCAATTGTTACGTATGCGTGCGTTCAGATTTGAAATAAAAACAACAACAGCTTTTTTATTTTGTTAAAATTGATAGATAAAACCGTTATTTGTGGAAAACACAGAAACTGTAATAAATTACGAAATACAAAATAGAAAACAAAAGCGAAGGGAGAAAACATACCATCTAATAAGAGTACTGTGGATTCATTTATTTTCGTGGGTACCAATTTTCGTGGATTAAGGAAAACTTACATGTTCGTGGATATTTAATTTCGTGGTTTTTGACAATGTCTGCATACAGACCTATAGTAAATTTGCTATTCGTTGAACATTTCATTTCGTGGTTAACCTATAACCACGAAATCCACGAAAATTGATATCCAACGAATAATAATGAATCCACAATAATACATTTATGATAAAAACTTCTCCTTACTGATCCGTATGGCACAAATTCATTAACCATAAAACACTTATCCCTACTATATCACAAATTGTTACATACGTTAAGATGTGAAATAAAAACATCAACAGCTTTTTTGGTGTGTAAAAAAATGATAGACAAAACCGTAAAAGATGGAAAACACAGAAAATGTTATAAATTACGAAACACAATACAGAAAACGAAAACGAAGGCGGCCTGAACTTCAAAGGGACAGATAAAAATGCACCGGAAGGAAACCACTTTCCTTCCACAAATAGAACCAATCGTGCGCTCATGACAAGGTAAAGTGCGGTTAAAATATATAAAAGGACTTGATTGTGACTACGAAAAATTGGAAGATACTTATCAACCTACTAACATATATCGTAATCGTTACGGTCAACCAAGTCCTAATGTAAAATCATTGCTTCCGTAATACGTGTTTAGAAATTTATATACATTACCAAAATTGTTTAAGGAATGACTGTAATATTTTTTCTGTCTATGAAGAAATAACATCAAAAATGTGGTGCACACTGAATCACCGGCGTAGCAGGTTATTTAAAAGTGTGCACCACATTTTTTATGTTATTTCGAATAGACAGAAAAAATATTAAAGTCATTCCTTATAATTTAATTCTAAAAATGAGTAAATAATGATAAAAACGTTGATGACGTCGCAGTCACGTGACAAAATTGTGTCTATGAGGTGATTGACAAAACACTTTCAGCCAATCAGAAGACGCGTTACATCCAAAATTAAATTATTAAGAAATATTATTGATCTTGAATGAAGAGAATCTGTCGGATAGTTTTGAGATTTCAATTTCATAGAAGGCCGCTAAATATCCAAAACAAAATGTTTCTTTGAACTGAATTCAAGAACGACCATTAAAACGATGCTGTTGAAAGGAACACACAAATGCAAAACAATTGTTAGAAGATAATGTGTACATATAGTATTTATCTATGTATATACTCATGTTTCATTGTGAATTTTGTAAAAAATATATCTTATGCAGTATGATAGAATATAAGAATTGAGTAATATATAAAAACTATTCTTTTACAATTTTAATAAAAGTTATTTCACTATCTTTTTTTAAATTTGTTATAATCTTTATGTTCCCATATTTACAGACATAGTAAAATGGCTGAGAAAGTAAAAAAGAATTGTGATATATCACCTAAAATAGATGACCCAGAATACCAATGCGGCTTTTATTATCGCATTCCATACCTTCAAAGATTTGCTACGGCAGCTTGGTTTACAGGTTTCTTTGTACTTCCGCAACTGACATCACAGTCTCTGTACATGTACATCAATTCTCAAATTCCTACATTGGAAAGGCAATTTTCCCTCAGCAGTTATGAAAGCGGAATAATAATGACCTTTAATGACATTGGGTTCCTTCTTGCTGGAATGTTAGTTGCGTCCATACCAAAGCTTGTGCATATACCTAGATGGCTGTTTGGTGCTATTATAATTTACGCCGTTTCCAGTTTACTTTGCAGTCTGCCTCATTTTATTATCAATTCAAAACAAGATGTTACCGACACTACTTTGGAGATGGCTAATACAACGAAACTTTCGAAATTGTCGATCTTTCCAATTTGTAGTGACCTCGTAAATTCAGACAAAAGCAATACAACAATGGAAAACAAACCTCGATTATTAAATTCAGCTATTGACCAATCACTAAAGTCACTGTCTGTTGGATTGATTGGCATTGGTTTGGGACTACAAGGAGCTGCAAAATCTATACGAACGCCATTCCTAACCCAATACCTTGACGAAGAAAACAAAGATAAGACGGGGTTTTACCTTGGTGAGTGATTCCCACATTATGAAATTAAAATAAAAAAAAGCTCCTTTCTGATGACGAGATGAAAATATTCAAAACTTTAGATTACAGTTACCCTGAAATTGTAAAATCTATTTGAAACCACATTTATCTAATTTAAATTTCACCAAATAATTTTATGACAAATTGAAATCATCAGGTACTAGCTGTAATTTTCACTGCATTTGTTTTAAACACATCAACGCTCATTGGTGAATTCAATCTAAAATCGGTGCTGGTTTTCTACGGTTATCCAGATTTCTTTCCACGCAAACACTAATTACTTGATCATTTTTATGAATTAAAACTGACAGCCAATAGTTGATAATCATGCTGTTCTTTGAAGTATAACTGGCTCTTGATAATAATTAATCATAACGAAAATGCGAATACTTTCAGATCTGAAGTGAATGCTTTTTTGGACAGCAATCCAAAAACAAAACATAAAAAAAAGTCATCTAAAAGGTAAAATGCCATTTCTTGTTTGTCATTAACTTCAAATTGATAAATGAACAAATGAAAATTCTGAAACAACCACACGTGATTTCATATAAATACAAATTATACATGTAGATGAAAGATACTAAGGGGAGGGTTGGGTACTCACAAAACTAGTTTTTGTACATTGCTTAACCAATATCATAACAAGATTCTGTCAAAATTCGGTTTGATTTTCGTTTTAATAATTATTTTGCTTGACGTTCTACAGTTTTATCAATTTAGGTATCTTGATGAGTGCTTCCGTACTTGGACCAGTTTTAGCCTTCGTTCTTGGTGGTATATTCAGTAGAATTTATGTTACACTTGAAGGTATGTTTTGCCAAGATGTAGATTCTGAATGATAAAATAATCTCACTTGTATCTTTCATACCATACAGATAAATAAACTCATCATAGATATCAGGATTTAAATTTTGCACCTACGCCAGACGCGCGTTTCGTCTACAAAAGACTCATCAGTGACGCTCGAACCCAAAAAAGTTAAAAAGGCCAAATAAAGTACGAAGTTGAAGAGCATTAAGAACCAAAATTCCTAAAAGTTTTGCCAAATACAGCTAAGGTAATCTATTCTTGAGGTAGAAAAGCCTTAGTATTTCAAAAATTCTAAGTTTTGTAAACAGTTATATAATTTAATTCAAGGAAGTCAGTTGTCGTTTCTTGATAACAAACAACAACTAGATTTATCAACATGTAACGCTATGTGTACCTTATACAACATCAAACGGTCATGTTTTATTGCACCTGATTCGAAATCAAACAAATATCTTTAATTGATCTGTTAATCCTGGTGCTGGCGTAGATAAAGGCAACAGTATTATACCACTGTTCAAAAGTCATAAATCGATTAAAAGAAAACAAATCCGGGTTACAAACTAAAACCGAGGCAAACACAAACAAAAACAAACGCCAACATACATAGAAACGGACTATTTGATAACAACTGCCATATTCCTGACTTGGTACAGGACATTTTAAGAAATGATGGTGGGTTGAACATGGTTTTATGGCTAGCCAAACCTCCCTCTCATATGGCAATGTTAAAAATTATCGCTAAAATGAAAACACTACGTGACAGGAATACAGTACAAACAAACGCAAGAACACTCAGCACAGAGAGAAGGCTGATCATTTATTTTTGACGTTTTTCTATCGTCATTTTGTTACTCAGGGTATTATTATAAACAGGATATGCACTGTACGAGGTTGGAGGGAGTATGTTTTGCATACAACAAAATACTTCTCCTTTTATTCATATAAGTAACTTAATACTATATAAACAAATACATACATTAATAGTTTCAAAACGTTGATAAATTAATATGAAAATAAGAAGATATGGCATGATTGCAAAGAAGATCAAATGACGTATATGTCACTATTCGGCCTGAAAATCCCATACCGCATAGCAAGATATTTAAAAGGCCCGGCCATGACAAATGTAAAGAAATTCAAACAAAACACTAATTGCCTAATTTATGATCAAAACAGTACAGATACAGATATAACAATAAACAAATATGATATACAGCAACAAACGACAGCTACTGAGCTACTGGCTTAAAACAGACACATACAGAATGTGGCGGGTTAATCATGTTTGCGCGCGCTTAACCCTGATTATTATAAAGAAAAGCGCATCGGATGCACAAAATTCATAAAGTTATTTCAATTTATGGCCAATATATCCCTCAATATTTGTAATCTGAATGTAAAATCTTTGAAAAGCAACAATTCCATAAAAACAAAATGCAAGCCCAAAATGACAGTATAACACGAGAGTATCTTAGAAATCAACAAATTTTCCCATCGTGCTGTAAACAGAAGATTTGTCAGTCCTCAAACGTTTCTATAATTATACCTGCGATAACATGTAGTCCACGTGCAGCGGCAATTCATTATGAATTGAATGCTTGAATAGTTATCAAACTATATATTATGCAAATTTAGAAATGGTTCGTTTACATATATTCTTAGTTGTTTCGTTAATATATATCATGTATATTATCTTTTTGTTTGTTTGTTTGTTTTTTTATTTCACTATTGACTGTATTTCAGACGTAGACATGTCTACAAAAGATCCTCGATGGATTGGTGCGTGGTGGCTTGGATTTATTGTTGTTGGTACTATAGCTCTTATCTGTGCCTTTCCACTTATTTGCTTTCCCAGACATCTTGCAGAAAAAATTCAAAAGAAAGAGAAAGAAGAAGAAAACCTTGTAATGAAACACGAAAATCAGAATAGTCTGGAGGTTGAGTCTTTGAAAAAGACTTCTAAGATTGAGATTTTCAAAGGTATGTACTCATCAATCTGCTGTTAAAGAATTTATTTCTAAGATTCTAATTTGTGGGGTCAAAGTCTTCCGAAAAATAATTTTCTTGAAACATTTATAGAATAGTACGATTCCAAAACATGCCTTTCTATGTAAACGTCATGCCATGAGAAAATGAAAAAAAGAACATTAAAAGAGATAATCATACGCGAAAAAAAACCCACAAAAACAAATGTTTGAATAAAATAAAAAAAGTTAAACGAAAAAACCTCATTTACAGTTTCTTTCCAATTAGTATCTTATATTTCATTAAAAATCGCCCTAGTGATGTTTTTTTTATAATTATCAACACTGTATACTAATATAGCACAAACCCGATGATGACGTCAAAAATATATCAGTGAAGGATGGCTTTAAAGCATTCTGTAAAACCGCTCTCAAGTCTTTTGAGTTTAATATTTATTTTTGTTGCTTTGACAACTTTTTTTCCAGAAAGATCGACTTCATATATCAGAGTGATGAAAAGCCCAATGTATTTGTGTTTATTAACAGCTTTTGTATTGAATGTATCTTCTGTGTGTGGTCCAGTTGTCTTCAAGTCCAAATACATCGTAGCTCAATTCGGACTTCCTTTATGGAAAGCAAATTTGATTATATGTAAGTACAAGTTTAGTGACTTTAACTAAATCATTTTGTTGTTGCTATCTCGTTAAGGTATAATGTGGATTAGTTCTCTTCGGTATCAATTTTAGTGGATTGATGAAGACTTGCATTTTCGTCGATTTTTTATTTCATGGGTTTGAAAAGTTTGTGAACAAGCCCATGTCAAATTCGTTGATTTTTTTAATTCTAGACTCACCTGTATCAACGAAAGTCCCGAAAATTGATATCCACAAATAATAATGAATCCATAGTTTCCAGGTTTCGTTTTATGCAATTAATCTTCAAAATGTACTTTTTGGTATCTTCAAAATGTGATTTTTAGTGTCTTGAAAATGTACTTTTTACTGTATTTAATCCTTGTTTATGTAATCTGACTGGTGTCACTAGTGATACAAGAACTGTCGACTCTCGGAGATCATCCCGAAATTTTGTGGGTTCGTGTCACACAATCTATACCTGTTTGTGTAGCGTTTTGTTATAAATTAAATAATTTAGAATAACTAATCGAAGAATTCCAATACAGAAAAATTTATTAACGAGTAACCGAACAACACATTTATTCACGAATGCGCGTAGCGCATGAGTTAGTTATCGATGTTGTTCGATTACGAGTTGAATATTTTTCGATATTTAAATACTTTGAAATTTTAATTAGGTGTTTATCGAATCTACTCCATTGTGCGTCCAAAGATAATGGCTCTTTCATGTATACCTGATCTATTTACAGCCGCTGTTATGGTAGCAACACTTTCTCTTGGTTCTTTTTTCGGTGGATACATAACAAAGAAGTTTAAATTATCACCACGGATGCTTATTGTGGTAACTCTGATACTTCATGCAGGAACGACTTTTTTCTTCGGTGGAGCTATATTTGTGGGATGTGATCAACCTCAAATTATTGGTCCTAATATGTAAGTATTTTAACAATATATGATATTGAAGTACATGTTATTGAAAGTGATCTGTTTAAAGAACAATTTGAATGTAAGTAACTGTAATTTAGATAAGCAATTGCTGGAAAACATACAAACAAATTCTTCAGACGCTTCAGGACTTTGTTTTCTATTGGATATTCCGTCATAAGGTACACGATGATGTCTTTTGTGAAGCTGACCTAACAACTTTGTTTTTGAAAATATTCAAAAGACTTCAGTTTAGAAAATAAACATCAATACTGACTTAAATATCACATTATAAAGAACAACAGAAATCTTAAACAGTATTGGTCAAAACTACATATCACACAAATAACAAACGCTTAATATCTCCGAAAACATAATGACGTACAAAGACGAAAAGCATGTTACTGATAGTCTTACAAATTTTAACTTATTCCGATTTGAATATTTAAAGGCAAGATATAGAAGCGGTGTAAATAATGAAAAAAGACGACAACTTTGCTTTCGAAAATTCATATTGTATCAAATCTTACAATAGCTTCAATTTCTATTTTTTCAGGTCGCATTCCATTGTGATAAACATGACTGAAGATTGTCATTGTGATCCTAAAGATTATTTCCCAGTTTGTGGTTCAGACGGTAGAAACTTTCACTCTCCTTGCTACGCTGGGTGTAAAGAAGTAGCTAGAAATGGAAGAGTAAGTAGGCTTATCAGATTTGATCATGATGCTCCACAAAGTTTTATTTCGGCTTAAATGTAAACTAGATTTGTTAATTTTGGTTTTTAGGGTCACATGATTTTCCGTAGTCTTTTTTATTATTGTATCAACGGACAGACACTCTTTTATTTTCAATCCATTTTTTTTCATTTGATATTGAACAGTTTGTCCGTACTTATAACACTTCTCTAATTTTCATGCTTTTTTCAAATTTCTCGATCGGTGTGAGAAAAATATTTTTCATATCTGGAGAAAACTTTGTTCTCGGCAAATGATTGGTCGAATTTTGATTATGACGTCATATTTCTAGGTTTCTTCTAAATTTCCTATTGTGACGTCATGAAAAACGGCGATCATGTCACATATAAAGAACACAACTTTCTACATATCTTTGAAAAAGGAAGGACAAACTTTGTTTAGATATTGTCTAAAACTTATAAGATAAACATATTTCATCACTATAATTCGCGTATTACGATACTTCTCCACTCTTAACAGTTAAATTTTAATTATTTAGAAAGCTCAACAAGCCTCGCTCTTTACTTATTAAAATCAAATTGTCTCGAGTGAAGAAATATCGTACCCACTTGATGCAGTGGTGGAATCTATAATTTCAAATGCAAGTCCATAGTAAAACTTTATTGAGGTGTATAACGTAAAACTAACTATATTAATAGTTGTATATGGCCTAGAAGAATTCTTTTTGTACAGACTACACTGTTCAGTTGCATTTAAAAGTGACCTGTGAATGTCAAAACATGATCAACATTTATTCAATATAAAATTTATGGAATGTCCTGAACCCAGAAGGGTAAAAAGTAAAACAACAAAAAAACCGAACTCCAAGGAAAATTCAAATAGGAAAGTCCTTTAACAATTAGCAAAATCAAAAGCTCAAACACATCAAACAAATGGAAAACAACTGTCATATTCCTGACTTGGTACAGGCATTTTCTTATGTAGAAAATGGTGGATTAAACCTGGTTTTAAAGCTAGCTAAACCTCTCATTTGTATGACAGTCGCATCAAATTCCTTTATATTGACAACAATGTGTGAACAAAACAATCAGACATAATAGGTAAACATGTCAAAATAGGTGTACAGCAGTCAACATTGTGTTATAATCTCAATCACTATAAAAACAAAAAAACATGTCAACAAAAAAAATCAAAATGGCATATAGACAAAGCACATACGCAACATTGAAACACAAGAATACAAAAAATGACAACAGCACAGTGACACAATGGCGGGGTGTACAAGTACCGAGCCACGTCTAAAGGATATTATCAAAAATGGACCAAACATTAAACGTTAATATTGACAAAAATGTCCAATAAAAAAAAAATAAACCAAAGGTAAAATCACTTAAGGGTTAGTTTAATATAGTAGGCACAATGCATCTAAAACATAATACACAATTATTATACCGTATTTAAGAATACTCACAGTTATCAAAATTTATTTTCATTGATTTTAAATGGTTTGCAGACTGATTCACTGGTTTGAGTTGGTGTCGAAATTGTACAAAAAAGTTCCTGCGGGAACAAAGAAAAATATTTCATTTGTTGCCGAATTTAAACAATGGGTGCGACTAGTGGAACATGATCTGCTTTACTTTCTGGACCATCCGAGAACACAGCTGGTTTATTCTATGAGTTGTGTTGCTCTTTTTTAGTTTATCTGTTAAGTAGTTTGTAGACTGTTTTTTTTATTCTGTCTATTTTTTTTTTGTTTGCCATGGTATTGTCTGTTCCCCTTGAAATTGGTATGGTCACAATGGTATCATCTGCCCCTTTTTTAATATGTGCTAGATTTTAAATTGTACAATAAACAACGTGCAAGTACATTTTTAAAACTACATATCAAAATTAAACCATATGTTTATATTATTGAAATAATAATTACACTGTCTCATTTTTAAAAATATTTTTTTTTTATTTTCCATTGTAGATGTATGCAAATTGCACAGTTATTCCCGATGGACAAACGTCTGCCGGACTGTGTCCATTTGAATGTAATGCACTGATCCCTTACCTTCTCCTAAATGTCTTTGGCTATATCTGTGGATCAATGAATATTATCCCAATGTTCATGGCTACTATTCGGTAAGATAACTGATGAGAATAATTGATCGTTACCTTACGTCCAGGGGAAAGTTAAATGCATAATAAGAACGAGGTTTTGTGGTATGAATATGAATCCTACTTTGTACTAGACTGGTACGACACGCTGATTTTTAACATGCTAGTTGACATGGTAACAGTCCACAAAAAGACGTGACCCTTTACCCGGATACCTTTTCTTATTCTTAAAAAAAGGAATGAACGTCCTTCCCCAAAAAAATTCATGCATATTCAGGTCGAGAACAAATCAATAATAAATAACATCTGTAGGGTATGCAAAATAAGATGACAGAGATGTTTGGCGAGGAAACTTAATTTTCAATATAATGATGTTTTATTGAATAGGGGTAGAAATATTGCCTTGCAATAATCCACATATGGATCCCTCAGAGAGCTCTTGCAATAGTGCTTTAACGTGGAGATAGTGTGTCGATATACCCTCAAGAGGCAGATTAATCGATCTCATTTCAAACCGCACTATGCTGCGTTTGTATGCATTCTACACAGCAAAACGAGTGCTAAACTTTAAACAAAAGTTTTACTGCCAAACTGGAAAAGTCCAGGGATGGCAAGATTTCTTTGCCTCAATCGATCAATTAAGTTTGTTGATTATATAATATTGAACTCGAGGTTGCTCGCTTAACAAAAAGAAGTGTGTATCCCGATTTGCTTTACAAAGCATCTGTCAATGTACAATTATTACAGGGATTCAAAATAAGAAATTTAAAAAATCACTTGTATTACGCCCAATTTTAAGTAAAAGACAAGTCTACATATTCATATTCATTTTGTATGTGCCTGTCCCAAGTGATGAACCTGTAATTCAGTGGTTCTACACTTTACACAAGTATTCCCCATTCCAAACTAAAAGACTACATGAAAAAGTTGGTCTTGATTTGTTTCACAAAAAATTAATGGCCAACGTAGACGCAAGTTTCTTGTCTTAGGGAAGGATAAATTGTACTTTGTAAAACATCACTCTTCACTAACTGAGAAGAATCACCTACCACTTTACTAAATATTAAAACCTTCGATCTTGTGGGTAAAACTATAGTTTCCTCTGTGGCAAGCATACAAATATTAACCATAGTACTCTCTTTTTGACATAATTTCTATACTTTTACTGCCAATGGTTAATTTAATTCTCCCTTATGTCAAGTTTACAATCTTTGTTATACAAAAAATTGTAGCCAACAATAGCAGGGGCATCGATATCTACGATTACAAATCGTTGTTAAAATTTATGATCATTGATTTCAAAATTAAAACGGCCTGTCCGAAAGTTGTTATTATTTCTCCATTTGCCAGTTTCAATTGTATCCCCTTGTAAATTTTGTCTGGCCGTTGTGACTCCGGCATGGACAAAACATTTCCTGACATGAATAACTGTCAAGGTAGAACCGGTGTCTGTCAAACAATTGACAAAAATACCATTAATTTTTATCTTAAAGTACAAACTATCATTTAAGTCATTATTTAATTCACATTTTTTGTGTGGCCCGTCATTTAAATATAGATCGGCTAAAAGAGGGCCCGACTCTTTAGCCACTAATGGTTTCCCGATTTACAATGCTCTGTCTGTGTACCCTGTGACGATTTTGACGTTTCGAATCAGTTGTTTTGGCAAATATTCGCCATTTTCTGTATGTCTAGAAACCTTCTGCAATCTCTCTTATAATGCCCCCATTTTACGAAAAAGTAACATAAAAAGTTTGTCTTTTGTGAATGATTTGGACCTCGATTACTTTTTATCTTGGCTAGTCTATTCATAATGCTGTTCATCTGCTGACAATCATCTTGTTCTTCTGCATCTACCATTCCCATTCATAACCCATCGCGATTATTAAATTTCCGCCTATGTCCGTTTGCAAACGCCTCAAATTCAAGTTCTATTCTAACACTGTCATCTATTGAAATAGGTTTCCACTGACAAATTGCCCATTCTAAATCTGCATCATTTAGAGAATCTATGTAACAGTCCCTGGCAAGCTGTTCACGAACTTCCATAGGACAGTTGGATATGCTAGCCGTGTTAATTTTCTCGAGTTTTACTCTTCATCTGTGCGTTCATATAGTTCAGCCTGATTGCTTGGCTGAAATCTCGAAGCAAGGGCAGTAACTAAATAAGTGAAGCATTTTCTGAGATCTGGTCTTAGATCGCTATGAATAGCCAGTGCTGAATCCCATAAACAGGTAGCCAATCCTAGCGCTTTTGGAATATTGTCCCACGCTACCATCTCAAAATGTACATTATAGTCTTGCCAACTACTTGTTCCGTCAAAAGTTGCTGGTTTCTTATTACTACTATTTGTTTTATTTCGTGTATTATTTCCTCTGATTAATGTGTTATCACCCCTATAATTATCTCAATAATCATTTGTCATACCATATGAATCCTGGCTAAACCCTTGATTATCGCCTAGTATATCTCCACCCGTTGGTACTGTCCTGACAACTCCCGTGCATGGCCAGTGCACTCCTTGGGATCTTCCGTACCGTTGTGGACCTTCCATTGGATCCCCTGCATGCCTGCAGACGGCACCGTTTTTGTCCATTATGGACCCTGGGAAACTTCTTGTAAAACTTTTACTCATGTGAAGTCCTTTGGAGGGACTCGGGCTATAAAATCTGGTAAAAGACCCCCGTTGCCGAGTTAATCGATGGTTTTTAACATCGCCTATATGCCATTATTTATCTGTATGTCTCCCCTTCCAAGGGATACCTGCTGATTGGTAGTTCGCTCACGAGCAACTAAACCAGCTGCGACTTTATCTCAATAAACCGCCCTGCCAGTAGTTTCATCAATCTGAATTAAACCTTTGTTTATAATGTCAGTTCTGGTATTTTCATAACTGGTTCCCGGTTGGTCTTATATACATCTTTGTTCTTGTCTTTCGTAGCAACTGTGTACTGCTTTCTTACCCGTATCTGTACCTCTCCCGTTGGGGTAGCATTTATGATTGGTTCAGAGGCAGATGTGGGGAGTTTTAGTCCCTGGACATGACCTTGGGCTGACGGCTGCTCTTCATCTAGCTGCAAATATTGAGATTTCTCTGAAAACGTACGTGCATACGATTCTTCACAGTCCAACATTTCTAATGGGAATCTTTATTTCTGTGGAGATTTTTATCCCACCGCCTGTCACCAAATTGTAGTAGGCCGAGGATTGGTAGCGTTTTTCTATTGTGTATTGCCTGGTATCTCGGCTACTGTGACTGCTATGCAACGGCCAACATATAAATACTGGACTGCTGGTAAACAGGTGTCTAACTATTCAATAAACATACAGCTCAACTGCCGCCGTCGTCTTGTTTTTATTGGTAATGACTAGCAAAAAAGGGGGGTAGTCTAACTAGCTGTAGGATGACGCCTTGGCGTTTCAATAAATACAAAGTTGTATCACGAAATAAATATGTGTGAATTTAATAAGTTAGACTGACAACGAGATATTTAGCATTACATATTCATATTATTTATAAAATCAACAAGTTCAACAAATGAATATTATTCATGAGACTTTCTTATAACTATAACTTTATATAAGAATGAAATAGATAGTCAATAGCAACTGAATACTTCTCTGGTACCTGTGATAATAGTCACAAAAAAGGGGGGGGGGGGTAGTATCTCTGGTTCAAAATATAGGAAAAGTGGACTAATGATAACCAAAAATACCTAAATAATCACAGTTCATAGTTAAACATAACAGTATCAGCGGTGTTCCGCAAATGGCGGTTCTAAGAATGTGCAATGAACTTTCTTATTTCACCTAGCGTAATACTAATGACACTTTGAAATAAATAGATCGAGATGAATATTACGATAATTCTCGAAATTCTAATTAGAACCTAACTTTAACGAAATTACAGGATAAATTCTCTATATCCATGACTAGCTTAGAAGTTTTTTATAATTTAGCAATGGCTGCCCAGAAGGAACAAGACTTAGTACGAGAGAATGTCGCGCATGATTTTATAATACTCGACACACTTTGGACACGATATGGACACAATTTTGACGTTTCTAACGTCAAATGACATCACGACACAAACTGCACTTTACATATACGGGGATTTTTATAAGAACCTTTTGTTAACAAACAATGGCGACTTCTAGGGTTGAAGTGACCCGTTAATAAAAATTGTTAAATGCTACATGTCTGGGAGACTTATGATCGTTGAGGCCGGTATAACTACAACAAGGAACCAGAGAATCATGTTAGTTTAACTTGACCTCAAAATTAATGTACAACTAATACAATTAAATAAGTGATTTTACACTTGTCACATAAATCAGACTGGTTATAAAAATGTATGTTCCTACGATTTGTCGCCCTCTACCGTATCATTTACCTTTCAAAATATAGTAATATTTACTATTCATCATATAATCTAGAGAACGTGACCCATAAAAGAAATGAATAAAACATTGAATAATTAAGAATTACAAAACCGTAACAATATTTTATACGTTTGGTGGACGTGTTTTCAACATACAATCGGCATTCCCATGGGAAACAACTGTGTTCCTCTTCTTGCCGACTTTTTCCTTTATTCATATGAGGCTAACTTCATACAAGAACTTCTTAAAAAGAAGGAAAAGAAATAAGCAGTATCCTTTAACTTTCAGCTAAATAGAATATGTTCTCTCACTGAATGATTCAAAATTTGGTGACTATGTTGAACGCATCTAACCTACCGAACTTGAGATAAAGGATACAACAGATACAGTTCAGTCTGCCTCATATAATGACTTACGCATAGACATTGACAATGAGGGTCGGTTGAAAACAAATCTTTACGACAAAAGAGATGATTTCAGCTTCCCAATTTTGAACTTTCTATTTTTATGTAGCAACTTTCCAGTGGCGCCTGCATATGGAGCACATATCTCCCAGTTGGTACGAAATTCGAGGGCTTGTATTTCCAATCATGATTTTCTTGAAAGAAGGTTTCTGCTCACAAGGAAGCTATTAAACCAAGAGTTCCAAGTGGTGAAGTTGAAATCATCACTTCGTAAATTTTACGGACGCCATCATGAGTTGATTGACCGTTTCAACGGATATGTTACAATTGTCGTAACTACAATCCCATCCCCTTTTACCGAATGTGACCTACTGAATTGGACTTATCACAGGGTTTTTTTTACTAACATGAACAATTCGATGCCACATTTGAATCAGTATTTGCTTACCATTCCGGAGCTCTGAGAACACATCCAAGTTTTTGGTTGGGTTCGTGTAACTAAGTCTTTAGTTTTCTATGTTGTTTTTTATGCACTGCTGTTTGTTTGTTTGTCTTTTTTTTTTTTTTTTGCCATGGCGTTGTCAGTTTATTTTCGACTTATGAGTTTGAATGTCTCTTTTTTGACGATTGTTGCTGTTTATAATTGTTTTTCGTTCATTGTTTTGTACATAAATCAGGCCGTTAATTTTCTTGTTGGAATTGTTTAACATTTGTCATTTCGGGTCCTTTTATAGCTCACTATGCGGTATGGGTTTTACTCATTTTTGAAGGCTCTACAGTGACCTATAGTTGTAAACGTCTATGTCATTTGGTCTCTGGTGGAGAGTTGCCTAATTTGCAATCATAGCACATCTTCTTTTTTTCATAATCTGATTTAAGTTTCCTTTTAGGAGCGTTGAAGATCGTGACAAGTCTACAGCAGCAGGATTAAAATCCGTCTCAGCTTCTCTTCTAGGTATGAACACTTAACATATTTCATTGTGCATGGCTTAAAAAATTTAACAAAAAGATACATAACTGTTAATATGTGTGCAGTATAATTATTTCATAGGTCCAAAAACTACGAGAACTTTCATTGGTAAATGGTATATATATAGTAATTATAAATACATTGTTGGGCTGTATTTTAGACGAAATATATATACAGAATGTATTTTCAGCCTTGTATCACCATCACTGCTGGTGATCCGATGGATAAAATCTGTTGTAGAGTCGTCACTGGTTCAGACGTACTAGTAATTATAAATATATATAATAAATTATTCTTTCTAATAATTCACCAAATTAGAATATAAATGTAAGTAATATAAGTAGTTTGATTGTTCTTACCAAAAACAATAAATGAGGCCACAGTGGCCTAATGGTCAAAATATTCGAAATACTGTATGACTAGCCTGTCAACACTTAGGTTGTGCGTTCGACTTCAATCTCAATTGACTAGGATTTGCAGTTTTCCTATTGAATGTCGGCTTTTCTCTCCGGGCACTCCTGCTTCATCTGCCAATAAAAACTGACAAACACGAAATAGCACAATAGTACTGAAAGTGGCGTTAAATACAAATCAATCAATCAATAAAAGAAATATAAAACGTTTCCTCATTAATTGAATTTCCATAGTGTATGACGTCGTTTACCTATCATAATGATTGAAAGTATTAGCCAGAATGCATAAAATTCTGAAACAGCAAATCATGATTCCAAACCCAAACAGGTACGTGTATCAATAGTAGTATACACCGTTACTAAATATAGAAAAATCATAAAAAAGGAAATCCTTTAATTGTATCAAGGGCACGATACATGTAATATTAATTTAGCAATTATTATCTTTTAGAGTTTTAGTTGATTATCGTTTGTTTAACGTCCAGTGGCATGTATTTCGTGAATATTTATGACGACATTGATTTTGGGAATGATTATACTGCACTGATGTGGATTTGTTTATGTATATATACAGATGAATTGGTCTATAATTCGGACTGGGGATCGATGGTAGCAATTTTTGTTGTGTATATACACATCATTAGTTAGTTGGAGTTTAAAATCCTGGTTTTAAAGATTAATACAGGACTCAAATGAAATATGTGTTCCATTAGGCACTGAATTTCATGTTTCGCTTGTACCAACAAATACATCAAAACTGATTTACCAAGAACATATGTGTAAATAAAACTAAGGTGAGATGTTATAGTTGTCAACTATCCAACAGAGACTTATTGAATGTAAGCAACTATATATACCCCTGAAAAAGTATCGCACCACCTTGATTTTTCTCACAAACCTTAATATTTTAACATATAGTATTATTAATGGCCCTGAAAGTATTTATTCACAAGTGTACATGTGTATGTTTTAATTTTTATGAATACAATCAATGTTCCTACCCTTACAGACAATATTCAAATTACTCACTACTGTCTTCATTTACGAATCAACGGATAAATCTATAAAATGACGGTCAAAAGAAAACAATCAAGCCCTAGCTTGCCGACCAGTCAGTTTTGAATAACCTTTTTTTTAAATTTGGATTGTCTACACTTTTAAAAATAACCATATAGGTTAACTATTTGATAAGATACAACGTCTTGCTATTGAATTTTATAAATAATAAAATGAAAATAACACTTTGTGAATGTACGCATCCGAAGCGCTCTTTGTGTGCGTCTTCACCAGGAACGCCCAAAGGCAAAGCAATGATGTACAAGTACCAAAAAACGTGAAGAGCTATGTGAAAAAAGTATAACTCCAATGTAAGTTCAAAAGGGGGAGTCCATAAAAACTGACCAAATCAAACGTTGGACTTTTTATCAACCAAAGGAACGAATAGAAAACAACTGTCATATTTCTGACTTGGAACATTGGGACAAAAGGGACCTACACATAATAGTCAATTAAATTAATTCATATCTTGTACTTCTAAATTTTTATCGATAATACACATTCCAAAATTTACTTTTTCGACGAGTGTGTGGTAACTACCTTGCATGAATAACATTTAAATATAGCTTGTTTTTCTTCAAATGCCGTTTACAATGGGGGCAGAACTTGTTAATCTATTGCACACAGTCACACAACTAACTCATAATTTTAATCAGACGCAGGTATGTTAATGCTGTTCTAGAGTAAATCGGCTATTTATTCATAAAAAAATCATTGAAATTTGAAATTATTTTGAATTTTAGTCTAGAAACTTTCATACCCAAAACTAATTTTGATCATCCCTTATATCATCCAAACTTTTAATTTCTGGTGTCTCAGAACCCTCCCATCTCGTTACCACGGTATAGGCGACATTCTAAGATGGCGTGTGAACCTTCAACTTCAAGAGCCCGGCACACCCCAAAGAACTACACCAATGAATGAAAATAAATTTGCATTTGGTTGACAAAGATGTTATCTTTCCTGTAACAGCTATTTCTTTCTTTAAACATGCCCTTTTCTAACAAAAAAAAACAGAAGTGACATACAATCCAACCATGCCCACACCAAAATTCAACTTTCTTGTCAATTTTGAAAATGTTGTATTCATTTTAAAAAACAAGAAACAGCAATCTTGGTATTCATAAGCTTTCCAAAAATAAATATGCCAAGTTTTAAAGAGATCAATAAATATTAACGGGGTGTGCCAATGCCATCTTTATCAATGAATGAGCGGCGACATTTAAGCACTGTAATGATTCAGATCGATTATTCCCCTTTATGGTATTAAAGTGCCTGAAAAAAAAACGACATTTTGATAGTTTTTGACTAGAAATGGACACATTAAAGATGTAAAACAATGTTATTATTTTCATTTTCATACTTGAAGGTGTTCATGAATCTTTAAAGAATCATGGTGCATATGAATGTCATGAGGGAAGAAAGGGGGATACTCTAACGTTATACTTTGAAAGAGCTTTTGTTACCCATGTTTATTTCTAACTCCACATATGTGCTGATTATAAATAAATACAACTTATTTACTTTCTTAACTTCGAATCTCATAGGGGTTTGACGACTTAGGACCAAGGATTAGAATAGTAAGATAACGAGATGACGAACGACAAAAAAATCTTTCTAAAACAAAATGATTCTCCTAATAAGTAAAAAACACACTTCTTATCAACACTAGTGCATCGAAGTATGAAGCCCCTTCTATCAAACTCATGTTTCATGAGAAATATTAATCTGCTCAGCCCTAATAAAGTTCTTTTTCAATGTTTTTTTTTTGAAACATTTTTAAATAGTTCATTGAACATTAGTATGGAAAACCGTCACATGACAAGTGTAAATGGATCTCTTTTTGAAACAATATCTTCTTTAACCTAGAATTTCTAGAGCTATGTTCATTTGTTGAACATGCATCATTCATTCATTGCAGTCACTTGCATAGTAAATTAATAAATTTAAAAACAGGTCCATGCATTGATCCAGAACTAAAACAAGAAAAAAATATAATACTAGGTCATGTACATGATGTAGGTAAATACAGTATGAACTTATTTTCTATTATTATAGTAAAAATAAATGTGGATAGTGTCCACATGTGGACACAGATGATGCCCCCGCTTGCATATCATTATAGTTATAAAGGGACATAACCGCTACGCCGGGGCATAATAAAAATAAAATAAGTGATTTCCTTTAAGAGATGAAACTATTTGTTTATTCAATAAAGTTGTATGCATGTGAAAGCCATTACTTCTTCAAGAGTTCATTATGAGACCAGAGTATTATTTGGCTATTAAATACATAATGTCTATATCAAAAGTTTCATAAAACTTATGATGATTTTTCATTCATTTCAAATAGTTTTCTCAAACTTAATACCAAAAGCATTGTATATGAAAGTCCTTATCATAATGCATACAATATTTTTTGTGGTTTTCCATGATCCATAATAAATGTAGACATATATCATCCTGCTGATTTTCATATGTTAATGTTGTACTGGAAAATTCTTTATTCCTAAACTTCTTTTATTTCACATGAAACATACAAAGAATATTTCTATTTTCATGTAAAATATTGTGAATTACAATGTATATACCAGTAAGTACATGCAGTTACCAGCCTGCCAAATATGATGTTTGAATTATAATTCTCACTCAATTCACAGTTTTATGTATATATCCAAAAATATCTCAATAACTGGCATATGATAAATATTGATATGAACATTTCCTTTTGTGTGTTGATCTTACAGGAAAGAAGTGCACAGTCATTTCCTCTGGTGTAATACTTTCATTTCTTTGTCTTCAATGTTTCAGAGTCAGTTTTAACAGTCATGTAATTCTTCCTTTTGTTTTCATACTGAAAATTGCTTCATTCCAAAAGTCAAAAGTGACATGTCATGGGGTTATTTCATATTCAGCACTGTTATAGTTTTGTTATATGTCCTCTAGCTTTTATCTTTAAAACATTCATTTCACTTTCTTTCCATGCATAGATCTAAAACTATCCCCATATATGGTTATAAATTGTCTGACAATTTCCTTGTTCGTGTTGATCTTCAAAAGAAACAAGTGGTTACTCTTTTTCTCTGATTACTTTTTCCAATTTCACTTAGTAAAAACTTGTATAACACCATTGACTCCAAATCATCTGAATACATATACTGAAAAAAATTATGTAAACATTTAGTGGCATTTTGAAGTTATTGGTATTGAATATTATGATACAAAAAAAAAACTTCAGTCAAAATTGTGTGTTCCTAAATTATTATTGAATTACAAGTAAACTTGACAAAAAGTTCTACATTGATTTAAAATGAACTTTTAATTCATGAATTTTCTGCAAAAGTACAATAACGTTTTTAAGTACAACTTACTACAAATTGTTATTAATTAATATGACTTAATCAATATTGATTGGGTGTGACTCAATAAAACAGACAACTTATATATACACATAACCTGAGGGTCTGGATGGTGTTTATAGAATAGATAATAATCCTTATGGGCAAATAGTGCAGAATAAAGGGCTAAAATATTAAAGAATTAAAAATGACCAATTATAAAAGAGAACAATTAGGTGTTTAAATACAAAAAATAGAGAATAATGGGCAAAATAGATAAAGAATAGAGACAATTGTATAACAAAAGAGTAAAGAACTGAAGGACCCCCAGCAAGACTCATACATTATAATATAAATACTTACATTGTGTAGACCTCATATTTGATATTATAGAAACTACACTCTTCAGGCATTGACATGTCAATGTAATGTCTGCATGGTGTAAATAAATCTGCAAAAGAAGTAACAACAGTTACTGAAAGGCTTCAAACTAAATTTTATACACACCAGATTGTAAATAGACATAATTAAGATTGATGTGAATTGTTTTGAAACATGATTGTCAAAATTTGAAAATATCTACACAAAGAAACATAGACTTCAGATTTACTTTTTTTAATAGTGAATCAATATTACAAATAAACATTTTATATAATCTAATGAATATAAAGATAAGAAAAATGAACAAATTAATAAAGACAAAATTTAAATTACACTAAAAGGGATGATTTAAAATGACAGCATGATGACTATCAGATTTAAAACCATAAATGAAAAGTTGTTTATCAATTATGGCCATGAAAACAAATAAAAGTTCTCACATATCATAACTAACATCTCATGTTCCTGCCTAAGCAATTTTATTAAATGCAGGCAAGCCATAGGCATTAGTATGATTGCATACACAGTGACATGTATGCATATATTTTTTTTAATTTTTTTTTTTATTTTACTTTTTTTTTTGGGGGGGGAGGGGTTGTAATATATTATAAATTGGAATAAACACCTAAAAAAGAAATGATTTTGCATGTGCAATCAGGGGCAATCTGAAGATTCATGTTCAAATACACCTAATAGATCTTTAGAAAAATGTTTAATAGGCGTTTGCCTCCAATATAAAATTCGAATCATATGACATGCATACGTCGAGACAAATTAGGGGGAGAAGAGAAAATTAAGGGGAAAGCTGGCGGGCATGGTGTTCGGACTTTTAAACAAATTCCACTCCTTATGTTGCATTGTTGCTGACCTTTAAGAGCCCATATTTAAAAATATTAGACCCGCATCTGTGCATGGCAGGTCAGTCTGCAAAATGTCCGACATAAAGTAATTTAGTCAATGGTCAATGAAAATATGATTGTTTATAAGATAGTAAAATAGTGTTAACTTGCATAAATCATTCATAGGAAGTTTGTCCTATACTGCATACAGAGTTCCCTTGTCATGTTGACAGCAAAACGTGTAACGAAAAACCCCAGTTTTAAATAAACAATGCGGCTTTCTAAATCGTGAATGAAATGAATATCGATGATCCTCGGCAGTAGAAGGCTAAAATAATTTAAAACAAACTTACCTCAAAATAAAAGCAACACACTTCTATATTAACGTGTTTTTGTTGGACTGATGACACTGACTTCTATCATAACAAGGTGCCTGATCACCTGTAAGTGACAAGCTCAAAATTGAAGTCGGCGAAACGTTCTAGCCAATCACGTGTCGAATAGTTTATAATATGACGTCAGACTTAGGTTGCGATGCAAACACCGAAAAACATTGCCTATTTTTTTTTTACTGCATTAACCTGCCTGCGGAGACAAAACATCACTTTACCAAAAATTGTCATTAGATTGATTTACGTGGAACACCTGTGAACAATTGAGGATTATGAAACTCGTTCAAGCTTACCACAAGAGTAAGTGAATAAGAGTACACTCTATTTATGTTTATATATGTAATCGAATAATATAATATGAAACTTATTTAACAACTAATAAGGCCTTTGATGATTTTATAAATCTTATGTCTTTTAGTATGTGTTATTTCCACGAGGCTCATATACACTTTTTGCAAATCATTTTAGCATTCATTCCTGCTCCCATTGTGTTTGGAAAGGTGATAGACAAGTCTTGCATCCTATGGAACTCTGATAGAAGTCGGAAGGGATCGTGCTCGTTGTACAACATAGCGGAACTCCGAATTGGTATGTTCGGAACAGGTCTGCTTTACAGAGCAGCTGCACTGTTTTTTATGTTACTGGCTTTATGGAAGGTTTGGTCAATTAAGGATTGGAACGAACTCAGGAAAAAGAAGACAGATCATATAAAAATGAATGGATATGCAGAGAAAGCCGTCAGTGCGGAACATTAATAACATATGTTCAACAGGTGTGAATTGCATTAATAAAATCAGTTATTACTTTGAAGAATAACATGAATTTGTTGTTATTTTATCAGTTAAGTTATATTTTGGGATGCAGCAGAACTTGTAAATGCACAGTCATATCTCTTATTCAGAGAAAAAAATATTACCAGAATTTCAGCAGTGATGGTTGCTGTTCGAATGGGGCTAATTTTCGTTTTTGCCGGAAAACTTTCATTTCGTTTATATGTTATTTTCAGGTTGGTGTATTATCCCCCAATTATTTATTTCGAATTCTTTCAATATGATAGAAGACAATTATATTGTAGGCTATGTCTACTGGAACAATATAATTATAGTGAAGTGAGGTAAAGCATCCACACCTTTTATTTATTTAAAGAGTAAGAAACCATTGAACTCTATGATAGTTTTTTTTTAAATTCGCTTCTAAATGTATGACAGAACATATTTGATTCGTTTAGACGAAGCGTCAAGGTTGTTAGGTTAATCAGGCTCGCGTTCATTCAAATTATCTGGCATAGTCTTTGTATGCATCCATCTGTAGCATACAGTTCTTCTCTCGGTTGATGGGCTTTGGAATTCAATATTTTGGACGTTTAGCTGAAAACTCTTCATGTTGTAAATTTTTTTTTACATTATCTCATGTTATAGCATGACTAGCAGAACTATATTTGTACATGGGAGATGAACAAGAACAATTAGGAGGTATGTATTTAACTTCATCGCTAATATCTTCTAGTGTTTAGAAATCTTGGATGCAATGGATATGGGTAATAAGAAATGACATTTGTAGTTTCTTCTTTGAGGTGAAAATGTATTGTTTACCGTACATACTTGTGTTATTGAAACCCTTACTTAACTTACATCCATACACTTCATGCACTATGAAAGGTTTACATTATAAAGCCAATAATTTTATTTCTTCAACAATATTGCAATCTGTTTTCTTTTCTTAAATAGACTTACGCGCTCATAAACATGATAACACAACTATCACAGGAAATCATAATAAATATTAACATTTGGCGGGCCATGTTTCCAGAGGTTATGTTAAACTGAAAAAAAAAAACAAATAACGTTTAGGCTGTTTTTATCCACATTTGATAATACAGACAAAACAAATATTCCAATTACAGTTTTTTTTTATTCTCACCGTTGTATATTCTCCCTCGTTTTGCAAAGATATTAGTGCGCATGTTAAACAATAGAAAGAACCAGTCAAAATGTTCCAGGGTACTAACAGTACAAGCATCGCGATGTTATATAATATAAATTGGCCATGAAACTGTTTTAAGTTTGACATTCCTTTTATTCTCCTACGATATGATTATTACCACAGGGGAAATATATTTCTGGTGAACGTACTGGCATGAAAATACGGATATTGTGTGATAAAATTTGCTGTTACAACATTTAGGAAAAAATAAAATAACAAAAATACTGCAATCCAAGGAAAAATCAAAACGGAAAGCCCTTTATCAAATGGCAAAATCAAAAGCTCAAACACATCAAACGATTAGAAAACAACTGTCATATTCCTATTATAAATTTATAAATTAAGGAATATCTCCCTCGTGTAATTGTCGGGGGGGGGGGTATACTTTTTGTCCATTTTGGTTTATAAGCTCTCCTTTGTTTTAATCAGGTTTGGATCATCAAATATTTTGGTTTTGAGTACCGCTAAAAAGACATGTATTGTCGAAATGCGCATCTGGTGCAGAAAATTGGGTACCGTTAATGTTATCATTCATCATCAGAAAATTGCAAAGTGGACAATGCACACATCAAACACATACAAAATAAAAACAAACATATAAGAACAAAAACAAACAAAAAAATCGAAAAATTCGAGAAATTTAAGTTTTCTTTGTACAAAATGTTTTTCTCTCAATAGAAAAAGTTAGCGTAATGATTAAATTATAAAAGAATAATTTGTGGACTTTTGTATAAATAGTTCTCTTTTTCAAAGTAAACATATTGTATCTTAACAGCATTGCACAACGTACTGTACATTTATAGACATGTGATGAAATGATGGAAGCTGTTAATTTTTTCCTTGATAATATTTAAGTACGTTTCGGCAATAAAGTTTATAGGTATTCCTATGGGCACCAAATGCGCCCCTTTAATTACATTTTATGACCAATCTCAGCAAAGACTCGTCTAAACTGCATTTAATTGATAAATTAAAAAACACTTATCGTTATCTTGGTGATATTTTTTAGTTAAATCAGGGATTTCATTTGGTTGTATCTGGAGAAAAAATTATTTGAAATGGGATAGCACATCCTAATTTTTACGGAGATGTTGTTTACCAAGCCCGGAAATCTAGATACGATCAGGGTAAACTTATCGATCCTTTAAATAAACTTATTCTAAAAGGTTACCTATTCAACACGGTAATTAGATCTTTGAATATTGTTTTCATTGGTATTAATATTGATTTTGTTATCAGTAAATTAAAATCAAACAAACTATTATTTTCATTAACATAATTTATGCACATTCATGGCTCTACAATCTGTCAATATCTGTATCTTGGCATTGCACAAGGTCATGTTTTTCTCTGACTGTTAATGACGTCGTTAAACTAGATCCATTGGATGTTTACTGCTAGATATATTAGTCTTAGATGCATGGTTTTTTTATTAGTTGTTTTTGGCTTTGAACTAGCTGTCAGTAACTGTAAGTACTATCAGATCTGTATTAAGTGTCTTTTTGTTGGGGATGCATAAGTACCCTGCCACGTCTACTCTGTGTTTTTGTTATATGTATTTCTATTTGTATCCATTTGATGAGTTAATGCTTTGTGTAACTGATTTTTAATAGTTTTTTTTCTTATGTTGTACTGTCCTAGGTTACGGGAGGGATGGTGCCTTAAAACTAGTCTAACCACGCCACATTCTGTATGTGCCTGTCCCAAATCAGGAGCCTGTAAATCAGGCGTATCGTTTGTTGCTTTGTATCATATTTGTTTTTCGTAGTTGACTATGCGGTATGGGTTTTGCTCATTGGTGAAGGCCGTACGGTGACCTATAATTGTTAATTTCGTGTCATTTGGTCTCTTGTGGAGAGTTGTCTCATTGGCAATCATACAACATCTTCTTATTTTTATAAATATGCTAATAGATATAAGAAGATGTGGTATGAGTGCCAATGAGACAAATCCCCTTCCAAGTCAAAATTTATAAAAGTAAACCATTATAGGTCAAAGTACGGTCTTCAACACAAAGCCTTGGCTCACACCGAACAGTAAGCTATAAAGGGCCCCAAAAATTACTAGTGTAAAACCATTCAAACGGGAAAACCAACGGTCTAATCTATATAAAAAACGAGAAACGAGAAACACCTATGAACCACATCAACAAACGACAACTACTGAACATCAGATTCCTGACTTAGGACAGGTGCAAACAAATGCAGCGGGTTTAAACGTTTTAATGGTACCAAACCTTCACCCTTTTTCTGAAACAATAGTGTAACATCACAACATAGAAAGACACACTATAAAATATCAACTGAAATAGCTTAACTCAATCAAAGGACATATTAACACCAGTGAACATACACTGAACAAATAAATTTGACCTATGATACAATGTAAATACAAAATAAATCAACTAAGGTAAGATGTATTCTAGAGGTTGTCGTTGGTTGCTGTCTGTCATCTGTCATTTTTCATTATAAAAGTAACCCTCATAAATTCGTTTTGATGTATGCAATATTTCATACATTGTCTTCCTGCGCCTTTTATAGTTGACTATACGATATGCTTGTTGTTAAAAGCTCACGTTTGTCACAATTGTCACACACGTTTGATCTTTTTGGATGGTTGCATCATTGCAATCATACAACAACTTTTGTTAATTAACAAGGAATAAAAGGAGTTGATGCGTAAACGTAACACGAAAGCATCGAAAAGACACAAAATAACCATAAGACATGTATATGCTGATATACAGACTCCAACAATACAATATGTCAAGCTCTAGACTCAATCACCAAAGTCTAGAAAAATCATGAATAAATTTAATTGAGACTACAAAAGATCTGTCATCACCAACAAATTCCTTAAAGCGTATCATTGTTTAATAATATCAACAGGTTATTTCCTTTATAAATTTTATGCTTTCGAAGCGCTTTTCTGGATTTCCCTTCATCAGAAATGCTCAAAGCCGAACATTTAAAAGCCAAGGACGTGCAATAACCGAAACAGTTGAAGAGCTATTTGTTTATAACCAAAAAAGAACCCCAAAATATAGCCAAACCCATCTAAATAAAAGCAACAGTAGTATACCGCTATTCAGTAGTCGTAATTCGATTAAGCAAAAACAAATCAGGGTAACAAACTAAAACCAAGGGAAAAACATCAACTATAAGAGGAAAATAATGGAACAACAGAAACACTGAACTACAACAAAAGCAAACGCCAACATATATAGAAACGAACTGTCTGATAACAACTGCCATATTCCTGACTTGGTACAGGACATTTTAAGACAAAATGGTGGGTTCAACCTGGATTTATGGCTAGCCAAACCTCCCGCTTATATGTCAATGTTAAAAATACCGCTAAAATGATATAATGTCATGAATCCGAAGCGCGATTCTAGATTTACCTTCATCAGGAACGCTCAAAGACGAATATTTAAAGGCCAAGAATGTATAAGAACCGACACAGTTTAAGAGTTTTATAATTGTAATTGTGTTGTAATCCTTGAGTTTGTCAACACCATCTATATTAAATTGTTTGATGGCAAGATGGAAATCTGATAAATGTCGGATATTTAACACACGTTAACATTTCAGACTGTTAGGTCCTCAGTGCTCTTCTACTTCGTACCTTATTTACTAGTGTATTTACAATATTGCTTATTTCCTACAAGTACCTTGAACTTTGTACTTCTACGATGTAAAGTCACGTAACGTAATCTGGGCACCTGTTATTGAATGTCTAATTATATTATGCGGTAAAATAAAGTTTCAGTTTTCCATGACTTGAGGAAATTTGAATTTTATATTAAGATATACAACATGTACAAAATAAGTAAAATTAATAATCCCGTTTCGAATCGAATTCTAAACTCACACAATTTATCTTTTAGATTTAATTGCGTAAATCACTCTCTCATGAAATATTAATATGCTTTCGATTCTACAAAATTGTTTAAATTACATAACCATTGTGAGATATTATTTAGAAAAATACAGTACCGAAAAATTATAACTGATTTGTAAATTTATTTCCTTTCCCGAATCAGATTGTAGCATGAACACCAAGTATTTGGAATAAATCTTATTGTTTCACATTGTAAGGGAAAATATGAACATATGCATGGATATAT